AAACTTTGCCAGGTATTAACATTTACATTTTAGTCATTTAGCAGACGCTCTTATCCAGAACGACTTACAGGAGCAATTAGGGTTAAGTGCCTTGCTCAAGGGCACATCAACAGATTTTTCACCTAGTCGGCTCGGGGATTAGAACCAGCGACCTTTCGGTTACTAGCACTACGCTCTTAACCACTAAGCTACCTGCCGCCCCACTTAAATATGGATATACAATTTTATGCCACCCCATCTTAGATAGAGATCAGGAACAAGCTCATTTTCTGATTGAGATTCAATCTTCTTGCTGTTTTACAGCATCTACAGGTGTAGTTATATTACTGTGGGTTCAATTATACCATACGGTTAGAATAGAGCTACCAGTATTATGGATACAGGGTAGATAAGGGTAAAGAGGGAGCCAATGTTGACTTATAACCCAAATCACACAATTGTGTATCATTGTATAGTTTCAAGACATAGGTCTAATGTATTTCTAATTTGGAGTATAGCCTGGAAATATTGGGGAGTCTATCTAATAACATGGAATGATTCATGCACATCTGCACTACAATGTATGTAAAGTAACACAAGGCAAGTTGTAACAACAAAATACCTCAAATTAGAAACCACTTAGAAAGATGTTATTAAATTTGCTAATGCTTGGTTAGTGTCTCTAAAAAAAAAAAATTCAGCCTGTATTCTAAATATTCTTGCCGCCTCTCTTTTCTTTAAATTATTGACCTGTGGAACATTCCCCATGTATCTGATCACATTTAGGCTTATCAGTAAGAAGAGGTATTTTGATTGGTATATAGTTGATGACAATAATTATTGTTGTATTTTCTCACAAGACTCAGATTAGACTTGGATTTGTAATGGGGGTAAACTGTAGCATTTGTTAAAACCCCTTACCTAAAATTCCACGAGGGTACATGGACATGTTACTGTAGTGGTCCTCTGTAGCTCAATTGGTAGAGCATGGCGCTTGTAACGCCAGGGTAGTGGGTTCGATCCCCGGGACCACCCATACGAAAAAATTTATGCACACATGACTAAGTCGCTTTGGATAAAAGCGTCTGCTAAATGGCATATTATATATTATAGTTTTGTCTACCCATAATCGATCTAGTGGTTTACAGTGCCTTGTTCTGTTCATAACCTACAATGCATCTTCACACCAAAGATAAACACTGGAAGTTGATTTAAAAGCTATTTCCTTACATTTTAACAGTATCTATCAAACTGAAAACAGAATTGCCAGACACAAATTTGTTAGCTCACAAACATTTTTCGGGGACATTTTAAACGTTGCTAGTCCTTTGATTTAACTAAGTGTGAACAATCCCAAACCCATCACGTGCATCATTTGTCCCACTGTGCTTGCCATAGCTAAATATTGGGCTCGTTTGAGTGGTAATCAAAGCAACCGACTGTAGACGAAAATCGAGGAAGTCGGGGGAGGTGCATCTGCGACAACCGAAAGTTAGACACTGATGTGGTTTTCCAACAGCAAGGCTCAGTGCAACATGGCAGTGTTACAAAGAAAAACATTTACAAACAATGGTAATGTCGAAATAAACATGTCTCCGACCCCCATATCACACACTCACAAACTGAACATATGGGTGTACAATCTATTGGGGAGAGAGAGACTCAAATATCACATTAATTGTTGTAGGACTACATAGCCACTATTTTGTACATATGACCTGTGGCAAAGTTTCTTCTTGTTTCAGTCACTTTTTTGATCCCGTTCGCGTGGGTCAAACAAAAACACTAATGTTTGGTTGACAAATAGTGCCTCCCACAATGCAAGCAATGGCTACAATGTGCAGCTGGTGAGGAGCAAATGCAGAATATTGAAGACGACTGCAGTCGAAACTTCATGACCTTTGATCATATGGTTGTTTTAAAGTTCATGCAGTCGACATGTAGGCGCATATCGGACAATTTTTAAACCATAATGGTGACTATCGGTCACCGACTTGACAAAAGAGATCTGCTCGACGTACCCTTAGGGCTTGTTCCACCTTTCAGCTGTTAGTGCAGGCAACTCCCAACTGATCTACAAGTCAGCTTGCATCATAAATAACGAATATTTATCATTTGTAGATCAGTCAATCTTAATTTACCCATCACGGTTTTGAGGCTGTCGAACACGGCCACCAAATATTTTTTATAACTAACCCAAGATAGACCAAAGCCATTATTTTCCAAAGTGAGCAAATGAATCATAGTGGGCAGAATAAGAAAGTAGGGGGCAGAGCCAAGCACGAGCTAGTGAGATCCTATTGGCGCGTTCTAGCAGTTATTTGCATATTTCTGTTAGGTAACGCCTACTCCGTAAAGTCCTTCTAAACAACGCAGTTTTTTTTAGAACTTTGGCAAAGAGTAAAGTCTACAAAACACAGTCCACTCTGTTTGTTACAGATTCTAGTTTTGGAAACAGAAAACTATACGGAGATCAAATGTTTTATCGATGAAAACATTTGCAGAATGTCGGCCAAAATCTATCTAGCTCCAGCTTCTCCCGCTGCCGGCCACTGGGTTTCCTCTCATCACCATATTTGGTAGTGAGTGGAAACGCCAACCGGACGCTTCACATTTATACATCCGGTGAAATATCTGGCTCATTGTTCTATCAATTCAATTCAATTTGCTTTATTGGCATGACGTTACAATGTACATATTGCCAAAGCGAACTTTGGAGATTAAGTGATACATTTACAATATTAACATAATTAAAATAATAGTAATCAATATATTATCTGTGACGGCCACTCGGTTGCTAATTTTGCTCCACGTCGGCTGCACATGCGCACTGGTCACCTGCAAGAGATGAGAGACTAGCGACCAGTAAGAATGCTGGATGCTGGAATTACATTTTAAAACAACATTTCGCTTGGAAGTATAGCATCTGGGTGAAAATATGTTCAAGAAACTAAAGCAAAAGATAAACGAGGAGCAATCGCCGCAAAGGAATGCGCAGTCACCGCAACAGGCCCAGCAGGTTGGTTCAGTTAACGTTAGCTAGATGTCAAGCTCAGCTGTTCGAGCTACAGCGTTAGCGCAGAAGAAAGTCTTGCTTTGCTTAGCCAACTAGAACGCAAGTCTAGGCTAGCTTGCTACCTTATTGTTTTCGGTGAAACACAACATGTATAACCGCACTCAAATGTCTAGCTGGTATCTCCCTACTACTATTATGCAAAACGAAACGAATTTGCTAGCTAGTTAACTGCTCAGAACCGAAAGTATGAGCAGCTCAGAACCGAAGTCTAACGTTAGTTGGCTAACTTAACTAATCTATACTAGTTAGTCATGTTAGAAATAAAATAACAAAACAATAGTTATTGTTTTACATAAATGTAATCAAATCAAATGTAGTTGTCTGTGGAACCATTACATTTGCCCCAGCCAGCCAGGGCATCTTTACATAATTGATTGACTGAGGGGCTTCTTTACTAGTACAGTAGCTAGTGTCAGTTCCTACTAGCCCTTGATCATGACTCTCAGTTCCATTACATTACACATGACTCATTGACATTGGACGAAGGCGTCTTCTATACCGGAGAGTTTTGTTAAAGGTGTTACACATAGGATTTTTTTGTGTCTGTTATCTAGTGAACATCGCTCTGTCATTTCCTGGTTGCTAAAATTCTACACTGCGCTCAATTTCAGTTTGTGAGAAAACAAGCACTGAAAAATGTTGGGAATCATTGTACCATTAAATATATTTTCAATAACTTTCGTTTTGGTCCACCAGCATCAAAAGCTGTAAAAACGATATGTTTAGTTATTGAAAATATTTCACAGCGCTTTAGATGGTGCAATGATTCCCTACACTATTCAGTGCTTGTTTTCTCACATAAATTGAAATTGAGCGAACAGTGTAGAGTTTTAGCAACCAGGAAATGACAGTGATATCCACTAGATAAAGTCAGAGCAGCTTTCCCAGTTTGACAACAGATGCCGATCTGGCGGGAGAAGTCAATAGGCGAATAGCACAGCCAATCGCAACACTGGCGGGTAATTAATACTGCGAAACACTATCATTCTACTATTAGCGCCAGATATATTATGGACATTTTCTGAAATTACAATGTAAAAATAAATCCTATGTTTAGCACCTTTTTTAAGCGCTGCAACGCTCAATCTGATCATTAACACGCGTCGCTTGCTGTACAGTTTTGGAAGCATAAGGACCTTATCTTTCATATCAGGAAAAAACTAAAGGTTAAATTGATACACACCTTGTTAGTGTTCCTACACGGCCATATCTCCATGTTACGGCGTTTGTTCACGGAAAATCTTGTTCACGGCAACCACCTGTGCTAATGAGCTATCTAGCATGCTCCGAACACCTGTGTCCAAGCGTAACTCGGGAAGTGTAGTTTCGTCAGATGGAGGCACCCATAGCTGTATGGATCTGTAACTGCTACAGTAAGTGTATCTTTTTTAATTGAAGGATTCTTTCTCACTGATGAAAGACGAGCGATGGTTATTGACGTTTCTAAACATTAAAACACAGTGTCGGGATTATACTTCACATGAGCCAGTCGTGGGCGAAGCTAATGGCTGTAAACTGTAGGGAGAATGCTGCCTAGAGTTTGAGAGCTACAGTTCCTACTAGTAACGGTGTCTAGCCAGTCAGCTGGTTGCTTCCTTTTGACAGCTCCATGCATGTCACTCCTACTGGATGATAATTATGACATTTTAACCCATGATATGTCTGTCGATCTCAAGGTAATCTGTTGTAGTGTCTATAAAACCTGTCTTGTAAGATGGCAAACTTTACAGAAAAGAGTAGGCGATTGTTTAGTAAGGGTCGCTTGGTCTGTTAGTGAGTCAACACTAGAATCTTACCTGATGATAGCCAAGTAAACAACAATATTATCTACATTTAACAGATGCAGTTTTCTTATGTGTAGAGTGAAATCATTATTCTGTGGACTTGAATATGTTGGACAAACGTGTTGTTTCTATCATGATCAATAACAATAATTGTTCATAAGGTGGGCCCTGGAGAGAGACGCAGCAGCCACACCCCCTCCTCCCTGCACCAAGATGCCTCAGCCTCCCCTAGTGATAGAGAGGTAAGACATGAGTGTCATCCAATGATGTATGTAATGTCATCTGACCTACACTACAGTCCTCTGTGGATGTGCTTTGGCTCTCCACTGCAACAGCAGCTTGCACAGAAATAGGCCTACAGTAAGCACTGCCACTTTAGGATCAATTCCTTGTAAGGATTGCTTGCAGTAATGTTATATTTTTACATTTTAGTCATTTTAGCAGACGCTCTTATCCAGAGCGACTTACAGGATTAATTAGGGTTAAGTGCCTTGCTCAAGGGCACGTCGACAGATTTTTCACCTAGTCGGCTCGGGGATTAGAACCAGCGACCTTTCGGTTACTGGCACAACGCTCTTAACCACCAAGCTACCTACCTAGTTTCTTGGAAACAGATTAAGTATTGGGCCTAGTCCTGTCCGGACTACAAAACACCTTCAATGGAGATTCTAGGAACTAGGATTAATCTGTGTTCAGGAAACTGTCCCTTACTGTTTATCATTAGACATAGGTCTAGTAGATCATATGATTTGTAGGTCCCAAAGCCCTGGTTACCTTCTGTTCCTGTAACACCTCTTGGATCGATGACTTAGGCCAGGACTCTTCAATTCCGGTCCTGGAGGGCCGAAACACGTCTGGTTTTCAACCTCTCCTTCTAATCAGGGACTGATTGAGACCTGGCACACCAGGTGTGTGCAATTAACTACCAGGTAGAAACAAAAACCAGAAGTGTTTCAGCCCTCCAGGACCGGAGTTAAAGAGCCCTGACTTGAGCCTGTCTGCAATGCTTCCAGAGGACTACGCCACCATGCTCTGCTGTATCATGATAAGGGTTGAAGGTTTCTGTTGCCTCAGCATAAAGACAAGCTGTTTAACAAGTATCATCCCTTTAGCCTCAGCTCTTGCATCGATTTAAAGCTTATTAAGCTGACTAAAACAAACCATGACAGACACAAGATAAAGGCCTAATTAGTGGAAATTGTGGACTGAGGAGTCAGACAATTCAGGGGTTCAGCTAAGGACAGTGCCTGCTTAGTTTCAATCACTTATTAGGCCTGAAAACTAGGTCTTTGTCACATAAATGACCAAATGAATAGGGCTAAGAAATGTTTTCACTATTTAAAAGAAGCTAAACCCATTTGACTGTCTTCACCAAGGCCTAGACTCTTTTGGTGTTTGTTTTATTGTTCAGGCCTAGGCTACTACTTCAAGTTATTCAGTGGGTTAACCTGAACCACAATGTGTTTTTAAAACATGACCTTTGCATTTGGAATGTAGCCTTAACAAGTTAAGCAAGTTCTGAGGTAAAGACTGCTCTGAGGAAGGAGGCCATTATGCAACAGTTAGGCCTACTACAATCAATATTCGTATGAAGACTTCTGGGCGAACTCTGATCAATAGAGACTGACTTGAGTTAAGGTCTAGGTGGATGGATCTTGATGAACGGCAATATAAACATTAGCACTGATTATACAGTAAAACACTTAAAATCACAGTGCAGTAAATCCAATATCAATCAGATCCAATCCACTCATGTCACTATTTTTATTTTGTGTTAAACAATTCTTTATCTTAACTCTGCATTGTTAGAAAAGGATCCGTAAGAAAGCATTTCACTGTTAGTCTACACCTGTTGTTTTACAAAGAATGTGACTAATAAAAATATATTTTATTTTTACATTCCAGGTCTTCAGATGAAATAAACATTTGACCAAAGATACGCTAGCCATCTTTATTTTCTACACATCCATTTAAAAATTCATCGGAATAAATAAGCTACCTCAGTAAATAATCAATTGATTCTGCATTTGAAATCTGAACTCGTGCCAAAGATATTAATCATCCAGTCGCAGTTATTCAAACCAAATCCACCCTGAAGTTACTAGTAGGCTAGACGTCTCTCTGACCGCACCTGTCTTTATCATCTGTCCTGAAGGAAGGCCTTCCCACTGTATGGCTTCGGATAGCTTAGAGGCATCCTCCTCCTCCTCCTCCTCATCTTCATCTTCATAGGATCTCTAGTTCACTGTCAGCTCCAGCGTTTACTCCTTTGAAATCACTGTTTCTGTGCCCCACAAAAATGTCGGCTAATTAGCCTCATGAAAATAATGTTTAGAGTAAAGATGACTTCGATATCCTGATTTAAAAGATGTTATATTATTACCTTTTATATTTTTATCAATCTCAGGATATGCTATTGAACATTGGAGGACACAGATACTGGGATGTCAAATTGGGTAAATGCCACAGCCCTGATGTTGATTGGTGTTCTTTCCACCTTTTTTTCTTTCTTACTCATTCTCTCTCTGACCAGTTTTTCTCTTCTCTCACTCACACTCTCTGTCCCTCTCTCTCTCTCTGACCAGTTTTTCTCTTCTCTCACTCACACTCTCTGTCCCTCTCTCTCTCTGACCATTCTCTCTCTCTCTCTCTGACCAGTTTTTCTCTTATCTCACTCACACTCTCTGTCCCTCTCTCTCTCTCTGACCATTCTCTCTCTCTCACTCTGACCAGTTTTTCTCTGACCAGTTTCTTTCTCTCGCTCTCTGACCAGTTTCTTTCTCTCTCTCTGACCAGCTTCTCTCTCTCTCTCTCTCTCTCTCTCTCTCTCTCTCTCTCTCTCTCGCTCTCTCTGACCAGTTTCTCTCGCTCTTTCTGTCTCTCTCTCTGACCAGTTTCTCTCTCTCTTTCTTTGTCAGATTCTCTCCCTCTCTCTTGTCTTTTTCTCTCTCTGACCAGTCTCTCTCATGAGACTCTGTCCAGACTCTCCTCAGCACTGTTTCACTCACACCATGAGTGTGTTGATGTTTTCCTCATTGCTCTGTCTCCCCCCTCTCCCACCCCCCTCTCACCTGTGATCTATTAACACTTTGACCTGGGGTCAGGTGCTGGCCGGGATGATAGCCCAACCTGCTTTTCTCTCTGAGTATACTATCTTTGCTCTGGACCAATCAAAACCATCCCCCAAAGCACCTCAAGCGCAGGTCTCTCAGGTAGCCAGTGCGGTGAGTTCGGTTCGCCCCCTGCCCTCACACCCACCCCTGCCTCCTCTCCTCCTCCTGCCTCCTCTCCTCCTCCTGCCCCCCTCGTTCTTCCCTCGCTCCAGGGTAGAGGGTAGAGGTGATGTCTGGCCTGCTGTATATACAGTGCATTCTGAAAGTATTCAGACCCCTTCCCTTTTTCCACATTTTGTTACGTTACAGCCTTATTCTAAAATGGATTAAATACAATTTTTCCCTTATCAATCTACACACAATACCTCATAATGACAAAGCGAAAACAGGTTTTTATAAATGTTTGCAAATGTATTAAAAATATTAAACATAACTATTCAGACCCTTTGCTATGAGACATGAAATTCAGCTCAGGTGCATCCTATTTCCATTGATCATCCTTGAGATGTTTCTACAACTAGATTGGAGTCCACCTGTGGTAAATTCAATTGATTGGACATGATTTGGAAAGGCACACACCTGTCTATATAAAGGTCCCACAGTTGACCGTGCATGTCAGAGCAAAAACCAAGTCAAGAGCTCAGAGAAAGGATTGTGTCAAGGCACAGATCTGGGGAAGGGTACCAAAATAGGTCTGCAGCATTGAAGGTCCCCAAGAACACAGTGGCCTCCAGCATTCTTAAATGGAAGAAGTTTGGAACCACCAAGACTTCCTAGAGCTGGCCCCCCAGCCAAACTGAGCAATCGGGGGAGAAGGGCCTTGGTCAGGGAGGTGACCAAGAACCCGATGGTCACTCTGACAGAGCTCTAGAGTTCCTCTGTGGAGATGGGAGAACCTTCCAGAAGGACAACCATCTCTGCAGCACTCCACCAAATCAGGCCTTTATGGTAGAGTGACCAGACGGAAGCCACTCCTCAGTAAAAGGCACATGACAGCCTGCTTGGACTTTGCCAAAAGGCACCTAAAGGACTCTCAGACCATGAGAAACAAGATTCTCTGGTCTGATGAAACCAAGATTGAACTCTTTGGCCTGAATGCCAAGCGTCACGTTTGGAGGAAACCAGGCACCGCTCATCACCTGGCCAATACCATCCCTACGGTGAAGCATGATGGTGGCAGCATCACGCTGTGGGGATGTTTTACAGCGGCAGGGACTGGGAGACTAAACTTGTTTTTGCTTTGTCATTGTGGGGTATTTTGTGTAGATGAGATTTTTATAAAAAATATTTAATCCATTTTAGAATAAGGCTGTAATGTAACAAAATGTGGAAAAAAGTGAAGGGGTCTGAATACTTTCCCGAATGCACTTTAACCAGTAAAGACTGCTTGCACCCTGCTCTCTCTCTCTCTCTCTCTCTTCCCGATCCGTTTTCTTTGGAGTTTGTAACTTGAAGGTATCTTACCACCTCCTAACCTTGCATCTAATCCCTTGGGAGTGATTGGCTTGTAAATGTGACTGTTGGGATAGAAGCTTGTTCTGCATTGTGCATTGTGCATTCTGCCAGTTTGTTATCATCCAATACCCTATCCTTCAGTTATGTTGTCTAGGAGTTGACAGAAATGAATTTCCCCCTTTATCTTTAGGTATCCTTTACAGTTGCTTGCCCCTGAAACCCTACCGACCTCCTGTATATAGTTGACTATATATTTTATTCCCTTCCTAGCTCCATCTTCCTACCCCAAAAGTCTTCTGTTTGTTTGTAGAGTTTATAGTCATGCGATGTGCCTCCGGACCTTCTCGACTTAGCTTGCATAGTTGAAGCTCTTCCTAGAGCCATGAAATTTTCATTTATTTGGTTTTATACATATTTTTATACCTATTGTTTTGGTCAAACAAACAGCCCATCAAACAATACCATACCCCTCAGGTGTTAGGGTGAACTAGAAGAATGCACTCCTCACTCGTCCGCACTCCTCCCCATTTCATCTATTAAAATACCATCGGAAAGTGCCACACAATCTCATGCTCTTAGAATAGATAGTTGTCCCCTGAACTATTTAGCTAGCCAGCAGGGTTGGGGTTGACATTCCAGTTTACTTCCTGAATTGGAATTGACGCCACCCTGGTTACTAGACTAGGCTATAGGCTAGATTGACCCCATCCTGGTAACTAGACTAGGCTACCGGCTAGATTGACCCCACCCTGGTAAATAGACTAGGCTATAGGCTAGCTTGACCCCACCCTGGTAACTAGACTAGGCTATAGGCTAGATTGAACCCATCCTGGTAACTAGACTAGGCTACCGGCTAGATTGACCCCACCCTGGTAACTACACTAGGCTATAGGCTAGATTGACCCCACCCTGGTAACTAGACTAGGCTACCGGCTAGATTGACCCCACCCTGGTTACTAGACTAGGCTACCGGCTAGATTGACCCCACCCTGGTAACTAGACTAGGCTAGATTGACCCCATCCTGGTAACTAGACTAGGCTATAGGCTAGATTGACCCCACCCTGGTAACTAGACTAGGCTACCGGCTAGATTGACCCCACCCTGGTAACTAGACTAGGCTACCGGCTAGATTGACCCCACCCTGGTAACTAGAACTACGGTAGATTGACCCCCCCTGGAACTAGCTAGGCTACCGGCTAGATTGACCCCACCCTGGTAAACTAGACTACGGCTAGATTGACCCCACCCTGGTAATAGACTAGGCTAGGCTATTGACCCCCCCTGGTAACTAGATAGGCAGATTGCCCACCCTGGTAACTAACTAGGCTACCGGCTAGATTGACCCACCCGTACTAGACTAGGCTACCGGCATGAATACCACCTGGAACTAGACTAGCTAGATTGACCCCCCCTGGTAATAACGGCACCGCTAGAACCCCCCCTGGTTACCCTAGGATACCTAGCTAGGCTACCCAGCTGTACTACCACCTGGTAATAGACCCTACCTGGCTAACTAGCTGTACCCACCCTGGTAACTAGCCCACCTGGACTGACTACCGGTAGATTGACCCACCCTGGTAAGCTAGGACCCCCTGGTTACCACCTGAACTAGACTAGGCTACGGCTAGATTGCCACCCACCTGGTACTGACTAGGCTATAGGCTATTGACCCCACCCTGGTAATACTAGAGACTGATACTTGTACCCCACCCGGTAATTAGACCCAGGCCTAGGTACAACTGTAACCGGCTAGGTACCCTACCCGGTACCTACTGAGCTATAGGCTACGCTTGACCCCACCCTGAACCAGACTAGGCTATAGGCTAGATACCCACCCTGGTAACTAGACTACTAGGCAGTTGACCCCACCCTGGTAACTAACTAGGCTATGGCTAGTTGACCCCACCCTGGTAACTAGACTAGGCTAGGCTAGATTGACCCCACCCTGGTAACTAGACTAGACTAGACTACGGCAGCTTGGACCACACCATGGTAACTAGACTAGTATAGCTAGATTGACCCCATCCTGGTAATGACCGGCTACGGACTAGTTGACCCCACCTGGTACACTAGTAGCTAGATTGACCCCACCCTGGTAACAGACCTAGGCTACTAGCTAGATTGACCCCACCCTGGTGAACTAGGCTACCGGCTGATTGACCCCCCTGGTAACAGACTAGGCTATAGGCTAGTTGACCCACCCTGGTACTAGACTAGGTAGGCTAGTTGACCCCTCCGGTAATGACTAGGCTCGGTAGTTGACCCCACCCTGGTAACCAGACGGCTTAGGCTAGATTGAACCCACCTGGTAACTAGACTAGACTAGCTATGACCCCACCCTGGTAACTAGACAGGCTATGGCTAGATTGACCCCACCCTGGTACCAATAGCTTAGCCTGATTACCCACCCTGGTAACTGATATGGACTACCGGCTGTACACCCACCCTGGTAAAATGGCTACCCGGCTAGATTGACCCCACCCTGGTACCTAGGCTAACTAGACTAGGCTAGCTAGTGAATCCTGGACTAGACTGGCTACGTTAATGCCCCATAACCAGACTAGGCTAAGGCTAGATTGACCCCACCCTGGTAACTAGACTAGGCTATAGGCTAGCTTGACCCCACCCTGGTAACTAGACTAGGCTACCGGCTAGATTGACCCCATCCTGGTTACTAGACTAGGCTAGATTGACCCCACCCTGGTTACTAGACTAGGCTACCGGCTAGATTGACACTACCCTGGTTAACCAGTTAACAAGTGGTCCGAACCATCCAGGCTACACCGCTAACGGTCACAACAACAATACTAGACTAGGACATGTCACTACTACGCTCCAGCTAGCCTACAATAACATCCTGCTGCAGTGACCCACATGTACAGCAATGCCAAGCCTTTGACCTTTGACCTCTTCAGCTGCTGGCTCCTAATTGAGTTTGACTGTTTGTTTGTTATGACTTCATGGCTGCTGAGTAGGAAAATGGCTACCACTTGTAGTTCTATTTTAACCCCTCTCTGTTCTGTTACTGTACGTGTAAACTACAGTAGAGAGATGCCTTCTATGTTGTAGTTTAACCCCTCTGTTTTCTCCAAGTTTGCATGAGGGTACCCAACTACAGTACCCATAAGCCCCTGCATTGCTCCTGTCCTAGCAATACTAATGTTCAGAGCTATGTTAGATGACTCTGTTAATATTGCTTGATCCTATACAGAGTAATCAGGGCCTAGCAGTGCACGCTGGCTGGGTGTGGGACATATGGAAGACTAACAGGTCCAGGTACCAGGGCTGCGTCTGACATGGCACCCTATTCCCTGTTCTACTTTAGACCATGTCCCCTATATAGTGCACTACTTTAGACCATGTCCCCTATATAGTGCACTACTTTAGACCATGTCCCCTATATAGTGCACTACTTTAGACCATGTCCCCTATATAGTGCACTACTTTAGACCATGTCCCCTATATAGTGCACTACTTTAGACCATGGCCCCTATATAGTGCACTACTTTAGACCATGGCCCCTATGTAGTGCACTATCTAGGGAATAGGCTGCTTGGCCTGGTCCAAGTAGTGCACTATCTAGGGAATAGTGTGCCATTTCAGACACAGCCCTGGTTAACCCCTGGCTAAGGTTGTTCTAACCTCCTCTTTCTCTCCTGCCTTAGAGAGGCACCACAGGATCACCCAGAGGAAGCATCAATGGAGACGGGAGGGCTTCTCCTCAGGCAAGTTCTTACCTCATCCTCCTAACATCTTCCTTTTTACCTTCCCCTTTAAATGTGGCTATTGTTATATCCTGATTTCTGAACAGGTAATAAAGCAACTAAGAATGAACGTTAAGATGCTATGCCAGTTAATCATCTGCAGAGATAATGGAAGATAGTCTAACAGAATCCTTTGTCCTTTAACCCTCATTCTTATCCCATGTCTCTACCTAAGGCTGTCTATGTACATTTACATGCATTTCAGTTCAATGTAGTTGACTGTCATGGAAATAAATGAAGTAATACACTCCACTGTCCTGTCAGTAGTACACTCCACTGTCCTGTCAGTAGTACACTCCACTGTCCTGTCAGTAGTACACTCCACTGTCCTGTCAGTAGTACACTCCACTGTCCTGTCAGTAGTACACTCCACTGTCCTGTCAGTAGTACACTCCACTGTCCTGTCAGTAGTACACTCCACTGTCCTGTCAGTAGTACACTCCACTGTCCTGTCAGTAGTACACTCCACTGTCCTGTCAGTAGTACACTCCACTGTCCTGTCAGTAGTACACTCCACTGTCCTGTCAGTAGTACACTCCACTGTCCTGTCAGTAGTACACTCCACTGTCCTGTCAGTAGTACACTCCACTGTCCTGTCAGTAGTACACTCCACTGTCCTGTCAGTAATACACTCCACTGTCCTGTCAGTAATACACTCCACTGTCCTGTCAGTAGTACACTCCACTGTCCTGTCAGTAGTACACTCCACTGTCCTGTCAGTAGTACACTCCACTGTCCTGTCAGTAGTACACTCCACTGTCCTGTCAGTAGTACACTCCACTGTCCTGTCAGTAATACACTCCACTGTCCTGTCAGTAGTACACTCCACTGTCCTGTCAGTAATACACTCCACTGTCCTGTCCATCCCCAAACAGGGAGAGGAGTCCCAGTCGTTTACCCAGAAGCTCCGTGTCCCCTCTGTGGAGTCTCTCCTCCTCCGCGGTGCTAGCCGTGCCGAGGGCCTCTTCCGTTCCCCATCCAAAGAAAGCTTGAACCGCAGCCCCTCTCTCAACTCCCTCACCCCCCTGGGGGAAAATGTGCCCCTGGTCTCCCCCTCTGCCGTCCCTCCCACCCCAGCCTACGATCCTCCGTCAGACATTGAGAGCGAGGCAGAGGAGTCGTATGGTAGCCCTGAGTGCCTGTCTGCCCTGTCTAAAGAACAGCTGATCCATCGGCTACACAGGGTGGAGAAGAGCCTGGGGAACTACAGAGGGAAATACGCTGAGGTGGGGGTCATATACTCTGAGTTGGCTTGTAGAAATTAGTCTCACAAGAAATCAAAGTGTAATAACTATGCAATCATTAAGTAATTACCGTTTCAGCAAGTCATGATTTACCAGTCACTATGATCTGGAGCAGGGAGTTAGCCTGCTGTATGTCTATAATACAGCTCTATGATGTACCAGTCACTATGATCTGGAGTAGGGAGTTAGCCTGCTGTATGTCTATAATACAGCTCTATGATGTACCAGTCACTATGATCTGGAGTAGGGAGTTAGCCCGCTGTATGTCTATAATACAGCTCTATGATGTACCAGTCACTATGATCTGGAGTAGGGAGTTAGCCTGCTGTATGTCTATAATACAGCTCTATGATGTACCAGTCACTATGATCTGGAGTAGGGAGTTAGCCTGCTGTATGTCTATAATACAGCTCTATGATGTACCAGTCACTATGATCTGGAGCAGGGAGTTAGCCTGCTGTATGTCTATAATAAAGCTCTATGATGTACCAGTCACTATGATCTGGAGTAGGGAGTTAGCCCGCTGTATGTCTATAATACAGCTCTATGATGTATCAGTCACTATGATCTGGAGTAGGGAGTTAGCCTGCTGTATGTCTATAATACAGCTCTATGATGTACCAGTCACTATGATCTGGAGTAGGGAGTTAGCCCGCTGTATGTCTATAATACAGCTCTATGATGTATCAGTCACTATGATCTGGAGTAGGGAGTTAGCCTGCTGTATGTCTATAATACAGCTCTATGATGTACCAGTCACTATGATCTGGAGCAGGGAGTTAGCCTGCTGTATGTCTATAATACAGCTCTATGATGTATCAGTCACTATGATCTGGAGTAGGGAGTTAGCCTGCTGTATGTCTATAATACAGCTCTATGATGTACCAGTCACTATGATCTGGAGTAGGGAGTTAGCCCGCTGTATGTCTATAATAAAGCTCTATGATGTACCAGTCACTATGATCTGGAGTAGGGAGTTAGCCTGCTGTATGTCTATAATACAGCTCTATGATGTACCAGTCACTATGATCTGGAGTAGGGAGTTAGCCCGCTGTATGTCTATAATAAAGCTCTATGATGTACCAGTCACTATGATCTGGAGTAGGGAGTTAGCCTGCTGTATGTCTATAATACAGCTCTATGATGTACCAGTCACTATGATCTGGAGTAGGGAGTTAGCCTGCTGTATGTCTATAATACAGCTCTATGATGTACCAGTCACTATGATCTGGAGTAGGGAGTTAGCCTGCTGTATGTCTATAATACAGCTCTATGATGTACCAGTCACTATGATCTGGAGTAGGGAGTTAGCCTGCTGTATGTCTATAATACAGCTCTATGATGTATCAGTCACTATGATCAGTCCTCTCGCTCTCATCCAGTCTGTCTCTAATACGGATGACTAGAGTAGGGACTTGGCCTGCTATGCATACATGTCCATGTGTAATGTGGACAGCTATATTTGATTTACCTTTCTAACCATTGTCTTTATCTCTCCATCGGCTTCTCTCTCTCTCCCCTCCATCGGCTTCTCTCTCTCTCCCCTCCATCGGCTTCTCTCTCTCTCCCCCCCCATCGGCTTCTCTCTCTCTCTCCCCTCCATCGGCTTCTCTCTCTCTCTCCCCCCCATCGGCTTCTCTCTCTCTCTCCCTCCATCGGCTTCTCTCTCTCTCTCCCTCCATCGGCTTCTCTCTCTCTCTCCCTCCATCGGCTTCACTCTCTCTCTCCCTCCATCGGCTTCTCTCGCTCTCTCCCCCCCATCGCTTCTCTCTCTCTCTCCCCCCCATCGCTCTCTCCCCTCCATCGGCCCTCCTCTCCCATCGGCTTCAATCACTCTCTCTCTCCCCCATCGGCTTCACTCTCTCTCTCCCTCCATCGGCTTCTCTCCTCTCATCCCCCCAACGGCTTCTCTCTCTCTCTCCCCCCAATCGCTTCTCTCCTCTCTCCCCCCTCTCTCTCTCTCTCTTCTCCCCCCCCTCCTCTCTCTCTCTCTCCCCTCCATCGCTTCTCTCCTCCTCTCCCCCCATCGGCTTCTCTCTCTCCTCTCCCCCCATCGGCTTCTCTCTCTCTCTCCCCCCCATCGGCTTTCTCTCTCTCTCCTCTCCCTCCCCCGCTTCTCTCTCTCTCTCTCTCCCCCATCGGCTCTCTCTCTATCTTCTCCTCTCTCCCCTCCATCGGCTTCTCTCTCTCTCTCTCCCCCCCATCGCTTCTCTCTCTCTCTCCCTCCCATCGTTCTCTTCTCTCTCTCTCTCCCCCCCATCGGCTTCTCTCTCTCTCTCTCTCTCCCTCATCGTGTTCTCCTCCTCCTTCTCTCCCTCCACCTCCCGCTTCTCTTCTCTCTCTCTCTTCCTCTCCTTCCCCCATCGCTCTCTCCTCTCTCCCTCTCTCTCTCTTCTCTCTCCACTCTCTCCCTCCTCTCTCCCTCCCTCTTCTCTCTCTCTCTCTCTCTCTCTCTCTCCATCGGCTTCTGTCTCTCTCCTTCCATTGGCTTCTCTCTCTCTCTCTCTCTCTCTCTCTCTCTCCATCGGCTTCTTTCTCTCACTCTCTCCCTCCATTGGCTTCTCTGTCTCTCTCTCTCCTCCCCACAGTTGGTCACTACCTACAGAACAGTACAGAGAGAGAAAGAGAAAAGCCAGGTAATTTTCCTAAACCACCTCAACACCAGATTACATATAATGATGCTCTGTACTATCGGAGGATGGATAAACACTTCTATCCTCACTCACTGAATGCTTTTCATTAACTAAAGTGATGTGGTCTTTTCTGCTTTTCTCCTCAGGCCATTCTCAGCCAGAGTCAAGACAAAGCTCTCCGTAGGATAGGGGAGTTGAAAGAGGTAGGAGTAGGATAATCATCTGTCTCTGAAAAATACCTGCAAAATGTCTAACTCTATCAAAGTACTGTATATGGGGTCTTATTTTAGTCCAAAGGCACTCTGTTATTACCCATTACTCTCTCTGACCTGAACTCAAAAGATTTTAGGATAAAGACCACCCCTGAGTCACAGCAGTAGAGTTGGAACTCCTGAATTCTTTATCGGTCATGACCAAAAAAACAGGAGCTGAGCTAATGGAAGGAAGACAGGAGGAGGAGGTCAGCTAAGCCAAGGAAAGAGAGGAAGGAGTGGTAGGGAAGGGAGAAAACTGCATACTTTATTATCAGAACAAGATAAGGCATTGTAGGTGACTTGTTTGAACTTTTGATGTGTTCAGGATGTAATTTACTGAGACATTTGTAATGAATAAACCTTGCCCTGCTTGAAATGGTGTAGTGTGACCTACATGTAGGAAGTATAGGATCACTAGTCTTCTCTGGCTCTGAACCATAATAGTGTTTGATAAGGCCATCGGTGTGAGCAAGGCAATGCACATAACTACTTATCTTGATCTCATAATGAGTAGTTATTTGGGATGTAAGGTGTTATTGTAGATCAGTGATTCTGTGAGCAGTCCGACGGCAGTGTAGTCAATCACAAACTATTTCCTGTACAGTATGTAGAAAGTATAGAAGTAGGAGTCTCTGCTGTGAACTATCCTCCCCAGGAGCTGCAGGTGGACCAGCAGACTAAGAAGCACCTTCAGGAGGAGTTTGATGCTGCCCTGGAGGAGAAGGACCAGATGATTACTGTGCTTCAGACACAGGTTGGTGTTTATAAGTCTACAAAACATTAAGAACACCTGCTCTTTCCATGACATACACTGACCAGGTGAATCCAGGTGAAAGCTATGATCCGTTATTGATGTCACTTGTTAAATCCACTTCAGTCAGTGTAGATGAAGGGGAGGAGGATCTTGAAGGATTGAGACATACTAAACTTTTGACTACTTTAATACACATACAGTGCATTGGGAAAGTATTCAGACCCCTTGACTTTTTCCACATTTTGTTACGTTACAGCCTTATATATATATATATATATATATATATATATATATATATATTTATTTTTTATTCTCATCAATCTACACACAATACCTCATAATGACAAAGAAAAAACAGGCTTTTAGACATTTTAGCAAATGTTTAAAAAAAAAAAAAAATTACATTTACATAAGTATTCAGACCCTTTACTCAGTACTTTGTTGAAGAACCTTTGGCAGCGATTAAAGCCTCAAGTCTTCTTAGGTATGATGCTACAAGCTTGGCACACCTGTATTTGGGGAGTTTCTCCCATTCTTCTCTGCAGATCCTCTCAAGCTCTGTCAGGTTGGATGGGGAGCGTCGCTGCACAGCTATTTTCAGGTCTCAATCGGGTTCAAGTCCGGGCTCTGGCTGGGCCACTCAAGGACATTCAGAGACTTGTCCCGAAGCCACTCCTGCGTTGTCTTGGCTGTATGCTTAGGGTCGTTGTCCTGTTGGAAGGTGAACCTTTGCCCCAGTCTGAGGTCCTGAGCGCTCTGGAGCAGGTTTTCATCAAGGATCTCTCTGTACTTTTCCCCGTTCATCTTTCCCTCGTTCCTGACTAGTCTCCCAGTCCCTGCCGCTGTAAAACATCCCCACAGCGTGATGCTGCCACCATCATGCTTCACCGTAGGGATGGTATTGGCCAGGTGATGAGCGGTGCCTGGTTTCCTCCAAACGTGACGCTTGGCATTCAGGCCAAAGAGTTCAATCTTGGTTTCATCAGACCAGAGAATCTTGTTTCTCATGGTCTGAGTCCTTTAGGTGCCTTTTGGCAAACTCCAAGCAGGCTGTCATGTGCCTTTTACTGAGGAGTGGCTTCCGTCTGGCCACTCTACCATAAAGGCCTGATTGGTGGAGTGCTGCAGAGATGGTTGACCTTCTGAAAGGTTCTCCCATCTCCACAGAGGAACTCTAGAGCTCTGTCAGAGTGACCATCGGGTTCTTGGTCACCTCCCTGACCAAGGCCCTTCTCCCTCGATTGCTCATTTTGGCCGGGCGGCCAGCTCTAGGAAGAGTCTTGGTGGTTCCAAACTTCTTCCATTTAAGAATGATGTAGGCCACTGTGTTCTTGGGGACCTTCAATGCTGCAGAAATTTTTTGGTACCCTTCCCCAGATCTGTGCCTCGACACAGGTCCTGTCTCGGAGCTCTATGGACAATTCCTTCGACCTCGTGGCTTGGTTTTTGTTCTGACGTGCACTGTCAACTGTGGGACCTTATATAGACAGGTGTGTGCCTTTCCAAATCATGTCCAATCAATTGAATTTACCACAGGTGGACTCCAATCAAGTTGTAGAAACATCTCAAGGATGATCAATGGAAACAGGATGCACCTGAGCTCAATTTCTAGTCTCATAGCAAAGGGTCTGAATACTTATATAAATAAGGTATGTCTGTTTTTTATTTTTTATATATTTGCTAAAAATTCGAAACACCTGTTCGCTTTATCATTATGGGGTATTGTGTGTAGATAGGTGAGGAAAAGCATTTATTTAATACATCTTAGAATAAGGCTGTAACGTAACAAAATGTGGAAAAGGTCAAGGGATCTGAATACTTTCCGAATGCACTGTAAGTGAATTTGTCCCAATACATTTAGTCCCCTAAAATGGGTGGACTATGTACAAAATGTGCTGTAATTTCTAAATGGTTCACCCGATATGGATGAAAATACCCTAAACTTAAAGCTGACAGTCTGCATTTTAACCTCATTGTATCATATGAAAGTGCTGGAGTACAGAGCTAAAACAAGCAAAGAATGTCACTGCCCCAATACTTTTGGAGTTCACTGCATTTCTACAATTGATATGAAATAAAATAACATTTTTGTGTTTCAATGGGTGTATGTTAAACGCTGGCAGAATAATGTTGATTGTGTTGAATAATGTGTGGTCACTAGCCTGTGTTGCTCTGTGTTTTGACTGTGGTCCCTCCTCTGCCAGGTGGCCCTGATGAAGAAGCGTCTGAACGGGGTCCCTGGGGGAGCTGTGGCCCCTGAGGTTGAACACCCTCTCCAGGCTGAAGATAACTCAGCGTCTGCCCCACAGAGCCCCTCCACAGACACAGGTACCATACAGTACAGACACTATGCTGACCCACACCCCTGATGATGATGATGATGATGATTGACAGTAGCAGACCTGGATGCTAATAATGTCTGCTGCAATGGAAGCAACCGAATAGTGCCCAAGGAGCCAACCAGCCCGTCTGGCACTCTTGGCAGGCTCAACCAAACACTCAAGTTTTGGGATTTCAAATACTATTTTTGGACCAAGGTCCGAGTAATGTAGTGTTGAAATGTTTATCACAGAGCTGTTTGTCGTTTATCGAGTTTATAAAACTACAACAACAACACCAAGCCTCCGTCATAGTCAGTATTCCCTTTTTCTGACTGAGCCGCGTTACCTCTTCTAAACAGCAGAGGGCAGCGCTGACCCATCTACAATCATGGAGGTGTTTCAGAAGGTGACACGCCAGGAGAATCTGCTCCAGAAGTGTAAGGAGCTGCTGAGGACACACAAGGAGCGCAACGCCCAGCTTACCAGCGACAACAACACTCTGCAGGAGCAGCTGCAGGAGAGACTGCAGGACCTGGAGAAAACCAAGGTGTGTTAACCAATGTCAGTGGAAGCTGGTGGAGGGAGAAATGGAGAGGATGTACTGTGATAGTACTTAATAATATAATAATAATAGTACTTCATGAAATGGAACATGAAAATAAAAGTTGTATGATCATAAATTAGCATTATTGCATTCCAGTCATTACAGTTAGCCATTTGGTTTAACCATCACATCCAACTTCTGATAAACCTTTTCTGGAAAGATAGTCTAAGCTTCACCCAATTTTAGACGACCATTTTACATATAGCCACCACAGAAATGTCCGTCTGTACTTTAGAGCGCTGTAGTTATGGCTGAAGATGAGACGGTCTACTGAGTCAAACACAGAATCCAACAGAACATTGTTGTATGGTCTGAAGGGTAACACCATGTACACTACCAGTCAAAAGTTTTAGAACACCTACTCATTCAAGGGTTTTTCTTTATTTTGACTGTTTTCTACAGTGTAGAATAATAGTGAAGACATCAAAACTATGAAATAACACATATGGAATCATGTAGTAACCAAAAAAGTGTTAAACAAATCAAAATATATTTGAGATTCTTCAAATAGCCACCCTTTGCCTTGATGACAACTTTGCACACTCTTGGCATTCTCTCAACCAGCTTCATGAAGTAGTCACCAGGAATGAATTTTAATTAACAGGTGTTAATTTGTGGAATTTCTTTCCTTAATGCGTTTGAGCCAATCAGTTGTGTTGTGACAAGGTGGGGGAGGGGGTGGGGGGGGGTATACAGAATATAGCCCTATTTGGTAAAAGACCAAGTCCATAATATGGCAAGAACAGCTCAAATAAGCAAAGAGAAACGACAGTCCATCATTACTTTAAGACATAAAGGACCGTCAATACGGAACATTTCAAGAACTTTGAAAGTTTCTTCAAGTGCAGTCACAAAAACCATCAAGCGCTATGATGAAACTGGCTCTCATGAGGACCGCCACAGGAATGGAAGACCCAGAGTTACCTCTGCTGCAGAGGATAAATTCATTAGTTACCAGCCTCAGAAATTGCAGCCCGTATAAATGCTTCACAGAGTTAAAGTAACAGACACATCTCAACATCAATTGTTCAGAGGAGACAATGTGAATCAGGCCTTCATGGTCGAATTGTTGCGAAGAAACCACTACTAAAGGACACCAATAATAAGAAGAGACTTGCTTGGGCCAAGAAACACGAGCAATGGACATTAGCCCAGTGGAAATGTGTCCTTTGGTCTGGAGTCCAAATTTGAGATTTTTGGTTCCAACCGTTGTCTTTGTGAGACATGGTGTGGGTGAACGGATGATCTCCACATGTGTATTTCCCACCGTAAAGCATGGAGGAGGAGGTGTTATGGTGTGGGGGTGCTTTGCTGGTGACACTATCTGTGATCTATTTAGAATTCAAGGCACACTTAACCAGCATGGCTACCACAGCATTCTGCAGCGATACGCCATCCCATCTGGTTTGGGCTTAGTGGGACTATATAATTTGTTTTTTAACAGGACAATGACCCAACACACCTCCATGCTGTGTAGGGGCTATTTTACCAAGAAGGAGAGTGATGGAGTGCTGTATCAGATGACCTGGCCTCCACAATCCCCCGACCTCAACCAAATTGAGATGGTTTAGGATGAGTCGGACCGCAGAGTGAAGGAAAAGCAGCCAACAAGTGCTCAGCATATGTGGGAACTCCTTCAAGACTGTTGTAAAAGCATTCCTGGTGAATCTGGTTGAGAGAATGCCAAGAGTGTGCAAAGCTGTCATCAAGGCAAAGGGTGGCTATTTGAAGAATCTCAAATATAAAATATATTTTGAATTAACACTTTTTTGTTTACAACATGATTCCGTATGTGTTAGTTCATAGTTTTGATGTCTTCACTATTATTCTACAATGTAGAAAATAGTAAAAATAAAGAAAAACCCTTGAATGAGTAGGTGTTCTAAAACTTTTGCACTGTTATACATCACCCAAAGGAGTCTTCATGGTTTAGTGATGATCTGTGGTATCACTATAAATCTCTGACATATGAACGCATGCTGTACACACACACACTCTATCTCTAGGACAGAGAGTGCATCCCAAACTGCATCCTTTTCCCTACATAGTGCACTACTTTTCGACCAGAACCCTGTGATGTAATGTATTGTGTTGTGTTGGATTTGCCCCAAATATAACGCTTTGTCTTCTGGACAAAAAGTTAATTGCTTTGCCCAATTTTTTGGCAGTATTACTTCATTGCCTTGTTTTAAACAGGATGCATGTTTTGGAAAACATGTTTATTCTGTACAGGCTTCCTTCTGTTCCCTCTGTTAGTATCGTGGAGTAACTACAATGTTGATGATCCATCCTCAGTTTTCTCCTATCACAGCCATTAAACTCTGGAGCTGTTTTAAAGTCACCATTGGCCTTATGGTGAAATCCCTGAGCGGTTTCCTTCCTCTCCGGCAACTGAGTTAGAAAGGACGCCTTTATCTTTGTAGTGACTGGGTGTATTGATACACCATCCAAAGTGTAATTAATAACTTCACCATGCTCAAAGGGATATTCAATGTCTGCTTTTTTTTATTTTTACCCATCAACCAATAGGTGCCTTTCTTTGCGGGGCACTGGAAAACCTCCCTGGCCTTTGTGGTTGAATCTGTGTTTGAAATGCACTGCTCGACTGAGGGACCTTACAGATAATTGGATGTGTAGTGTACAGAGATGAGGTAGTCATTCAAAAATCATGTTAAACACTATTGCACACAGTGATTCCATGCAACTTATGTGACTTAAGCACATTTTTACTCCTGAACTTATTTAGGCTTGCCATAACAAAGGGGTTGAATACTTATTGACTCAAGACATTTCAGCTTATCATTTTAAATAAATTTGTAAACAATTTTAAAAACATCATTCCACTTTGACATTATGGGGTATTGTGTGTAGGCCAGTGACCAAAACATCTAAATGTGATCCATTTAAAATTCAGGCTGTAACACAACAAAATGTGGAAAGAGTCAATGGGTGTGAATACTTTCTGAAGGCACTGTGTGTGTTCATGGTACAGGGCTGTGTGTTTGGATGGAGTCGGGGCTCTACAGGGCTGTGTGTTTGGATGGAGTCGGGGCTCTACAGGGCTGTGTGTTTGGATGGAGTCGGGGCTCTACAGGGCTGTGTGTTTGGATGGAGTCGGGGCTCTACAGGGCTGTGTGTTTGGATGGAGTCGGGGCTCTACAGGGCTGTGTGTTTGGACGGAGTCGGGGCTCTACAGGGCTGTGTGTTTGGACGGAGTCGGGGCTCTACAGGGCTGTGTGTTTGGATGGAGTCGGGGCTCTACAGGGCTGTGTGTTTGGATGGAGTCGGGGCTCTACAGGGCTGTGTGTTTGGATGGAGTCGGGGCTCTACAGGGCTGTGTGTTTGGATGGAGTCGGGGCTCTACAGGGCTGTGTGTTTGGATGGAGTCGGGGCTCTACAGGGCTGTGTGTTTGGATGGAGTCGGGGCTCTACAGGGCTGTGTGTTTGGACGGAGTCGGGGCTCTACAGGGCTGTGTGTTTGGACGGAGTCGGGGCTCTACAGGGCTGTGTGTTTGGATGGAGTCGGGGCTCTACAGGGCTGTGTGTTTGGATGGAGTCGGGGCTCTACAGGGCTGTGTGTTTGGATGGAGTCGGGGCTCTACAGGGCTGTGTGTTTGGACGGAGTCGGGGCTCTACAGGGCTGTGTGTTTGGATGGAGTCGGGGCTCTACAGGGCTGTGTGTTTGGATGGAGTCGGGGCTCTACAGGGCTGTGTGTTTGGATGGAGTCGGGGCTCTACAGTGCAACCATATGCTCCTAAATATTTTGCTGTGCAACCTGGAATTTTTAATTTGGGAGGACCAGTCCACCTACAAAAAAATCACCCATATAATAATTGTTGTAATGATTGTTGTAGAGAAAATAAAATGTTCTGGTGCTCCTAAAACCTGTATTTAGTCATTTCTGGTAATTCTAATCATTGAGACCACTAACATGATAATTAATTAATATTATCATTAATACCGCTAATATTGTAATTTTATACTGCCAATAATATCATTACTACCGCTAATAATATAATTAATAGCGCTAATATTTTTCATTGTGTTCCTAAATGTATTTGTGTGCTCCTACATTTTTCAACTTGGGAGCATCTTGTTAAAAATGTCAGCGTAGAGCCCTGGGAGTTACAGGATGCATACGTGTGTGTGTGTTGAACCTGGCCAGTGTCTGGGAACAGGGCCGTTCCTGTGACAGAAAGAGCCAGAGGTTAACAGGCACTCAGCTCTCCTAACCAGCATGGAGGGGCCTACACACACAGAAGCTATCTCCCAGGCCACCCGTTGACCTTCGGGATCTGGTATTTCCTATTTGTCTTATTGTATGTTGTCACATTAGTGTCATGGAGAGCTACAGCCCACTGCTGCTAAACCAACCGTATGTTGTCACAGTAGTGTCATAGAGAGCTACAGCCCACTGCTGCTAAACCAACCAACCGTATGTTGTCACATTAGTGTCATGGAGAGCTACAGCCAACTGCTGCTAAACCAACCGTATGTTGTCACATTAGTGTCATAGAGAGCTACAGCCCACTGCTGCTAAACCAACCGTATGTTGTCACAGTAGTGTCATAGAGAGCTACAGCCCACTGCTGCTAAACCAACCGTATGTTGTCACATTAGTGTCATAGAGAGCTACAGCCAACTGCTGCTAAATCAACCGTATGTTGTCACATTAGTGTCATAGAGAGCTACAGCCCACTGCTGCTAAACCAACCGTATGTTGTCACAGTAGTGTCATAGAGAGCTACAGCCCACTGCTGCTAAACCAACCGTATGTTGTCACATTAGTGTCATAGAGAGCTACAGCCAACTGCTGCTAAACCAACCAACCGTATGTTCTCACAGTAGTGTCATAGAGAGCTACAGCCCACTGCTGCTAAACCAACCGTATGTTGTCACAGTAGTGTCATAGAGAGCTGCAGCCAACTGCTGCTAAACCAACCAACTGTATGTTGTCACAGTAGTGTCATAGAGAGCTACAGCCCACTGCTGCTAAACCAACCATATGTTGTCATAGAGAGCTACAGCCCACTGCTGCTAAACCAACCGTATGTTGTCACATTAGTGTCATAAAGAGCTGCAGCCAACTGCTGCTAAACCAACCGTATGTTGTCACAGTAGTGTCATAGAGAGCTACAGCCCACTGCTGCTAAACCAACCAACCGTATGTTGTCACAGTAGTGTCATAGAGAGCTACAGCCCACTGCTGCTAAACCAACCAACCGTATGTTGTCACAGTAGTGTCATAGAGAGCTACAGCCCACTGCTGCTAAACCAACCGTATGTTGTCACAGTAGTGTCATAGAGAGCTACAGCCCACTGCTGCTAAACCAACCGTATGTTGTCACAGTAGTGTCATAGAGAGCTACAGCCCACTGCTGCTAAACCAACCGTATGTTGTCACATTAGTGTCATAGAGAGCTACAGCCCACTGCTGCTAAACCAACCAACCGTATGTTGTCACAGTAGTGTCATAGAGAGCTACAGCCCACTGCTGCTAAACCAACCAACCGTATGTTGTCACAGTAGTGTCATAGAGAGCTACAGCCCACTGCTGCTAAACCAACCAACCGTATGTTGTCACAGTAGTGTCATAGAGAGCTACAGCCCACTGCTGCTAAACCAACCGTATGTTATCACAGTAGTGTCATAGAGAGCTACAGCCCACTGCTGCTAAACCAACCAACCGTATGTTGTCACAGTAGTGTCATAGAGAGCTACAGCCAACTGCTGCTAAACCAACCCGGGCTGTAATTTAGGTCTGTGTGTTGGTTTAGTTGGCCTCGTATGCAGCCTTTGTTGACGACCACCTTGTGGCTGTGGTGGCCGGGCCTCATGGGTGGTGAAGGCAGACTAGGGAGCAACTTTGAGAGTGGTGTGGTGCTGCATTGGCATCCGAAGAGCTCTTTTTCTGCCTGCCATGCGCAAACATTTTGGAACCTACAGTATCTTGGTCCTTCATTGATTTTATTTAACCTTTATCTAACCAGGAAAGTAGCCTGGTCCCAGAGCTGTTCGTGCAGTATAGCCAACGACCATAGGAGTTGGCTATACAACACAAACACAAATTGGACCAGGCTACCAGGAAAGAGCCTTGAGGTTCGTGACCTCTTACGAGGACAACCTGTGCAATAACCTGCGCAAGGTCCTGATGATTTAAACAATATGTTGTAAGAAAGGGTTCATTCATTTGTCTGAAATCTGATCTGATGTTTGTACCCCTGCTTAAAGGTTATGAGGGGTAGTTGGTTGTCTAAATTCAGGGCAGTGTTATTCACTACAGTGCCCTGACCTTAACTACGGTGGTTCTCCTGTTCCTTGACTACGGTGGTTCTCCTGTTCCTTAACTACAGTGGTTCTCCTGTTCCCTAACTACAGTGGTTCTCCTGTTTCTTTGATAACTTCCAGATGAATAAATGTTTAACTGTTAAAGATGGTCCATTAATCCTTACCCAAAGAGCACCTTCAATCTATGCTGTAGCGCTTCCCATCGTTTTTCTTCCCATTTATTAACAGCTCTCTCCTTCCGTCTCTGTCCTCAGTGACTTCACGGTTGCTTTGATACTGTTAGAGCACATGAACCCATTGTTGATGGATCTCTGTTTGTTCGTCTACAGGAGCTGCACACCACAGAGAAGACCAAGCTCATCACCCAGCTGCATGGTGCTGAGAACCTCATTCAACAGCTGGAGCAGGACAAGGTGACTGAAGAAGAGGGGTTCTTAAAGGGATAGATCGACTTACCTAGTCCTAGGGTGTTGAAAATGCTAGCCAGGAGATTCTGGATATTGCTAAGCCAGCTAACAAACTTTAAAAAACTGTTTGAATGAAACAACAGCATATGTAAGTCATAAATAAGCTAAAACTTCAATAAAAGTGAACTGTCCCTTTTTAAGGTTGGTCATATATCTTGATTTAAGTTGTTTTTAAGCTTCTGAGTCAGTGGAGGCTGGTGACACTTTAAATCAAAGGACAGGCTCATTGTAATGGAATGTTATAACAACACATGGAAACCATGTGTTTGATACCTTTCCATTAATTTATTTCCAGCCATTACAATCACCCCATCCTCCGATTTCTCCCTTCCTCTACCAGCCTCCACTGTTCTGGTCCTGACTTTGAGTGCCCCTAAAATGTCCTCCTCACTCCTGCAGTGATGTTTAGTGTGAATCCGTGAAATATAGACATGTTTGTGCTCTGCCACTGAGCGCGGAGACGTCAGAGACACTCCATCCACGTTTGTTACGCTTGACCCTTAACCTCTAGCTCTGCAGGAGAGGTGTGTGTTTGACCCCCAGCTCTGCGGGAGTAGAGACAGTCGCTCGTGAGGTCACTGAGGAATGTGGGTTAGAGTTAGAGGCGCAGCGTAACAGTCAGAAACAATTTAGGGGCCTGGGCTTTGTGGATTACTGGCAGACGTCTTAAATTATTTAGATAAATTCATGCCAACAATGAAAGGAGAGAGTTTGACACACATCCCAAAAAATAACAGAAGTCTCACAAATGTGCCCTGTCTGTTTCCTTGTCTTGTTTAGAGATGAAACCTGTCTGAATGGAAGTACACAATCATAACAGATTATAACTGATTGAATGCTTCACATGAATGCTTTCACTTTGGAAATAAGTGTTTTCATGAATGTGCTATCCTCTGAGATCACATCTGGTTGATATACAGCATGTATTATTTTAACCCAAAAGTCCAATTCAATCCAATCCTGGTTCTACTTTCAGGTCATGGTGATTGCAGAGACGAAGCGTCAGATGCATGAAACTCTGGAGATGAAGGAGGAGGAGATCGCCCAGCTCCGCTCCAGAAGCAAGATGGCCGCCGCCCAGAGAAAAGAACTGCAGGAGCAGAAGGAGAAGTCTGAGAAAGCTGGTCAGTGGATCTCCTCTCCTCTTCCTCTAGAACAGTGTGAATGTACAGTATCTAACTGAGGATGTGTGTTTGCACCTTCCTCCAGCGTTTGAGGAGCTGGAGAAGGCTCTGGCCGTGGCCCAGAGGGCTGAGGAGGCGCGGAGGCTGCTGCAGCTCCAGCTGCAGGAGCAGGTGAAGGAGGTGGAGAGGGCCGGGGAGGAGGAGAGGAGGAGTCTGCAGCAGGAGCTCACCAGGGTCAAGCAGGAGGTGGTCACCATCATGAAGGTGAGGCACATCTACTGTACATCTAAATACTAATGAAATACTCCTTCAGTACTTATGGAGTAAACGATCACTACTCACCCAGTACCAAGAGCAGGGTTGGGGTCAATTCACAAAGTTATCTAATGTCCTAATTGAAAGCATTGAAGCGAATTTAAATGGAATTGACCACAACCCTGACCAAGAGCTCTTTAGAACGGAGGAAAGCCATTAGTCACTGAGTTACAGTATATTAACCAAGAGCTCTTTAGAACAGAGGAAAGCCATTAGTCAGTGAGTTACAGTATATTAACCAAGAGCTCTTTAGAACAGAGGAAAGCCATTAGTCACTGAGTTACAGTATATTAACCAAGAGCTCTTTAGAACAGAGGAAAGCCATTAGTCAGTGAGTTACAGTATATTAACCAAGAGCTCTTTAGAACAGAGGAAAGCCATTAGTCAGTGAGTTACAGTATATTAACCAAGAGCTCTTTAGAACAGAGGAAAGCCATTAGTCACTGAGTTACAGTATATTAACCAAGAGCTCTTTAGAACAGAGGAAAGCCATTAGTCACTGAGTTACAGTATATTAACCAAGAGCTCTTTAGAACAGAGGAAAGCCAGTAGTCAGTGAGTTACAGTATATTAACCAAGAGCTCTTTAGAACAGAGGAAAGCCATTAGTCAGTGAGTTACAGTATATTAACCAAGAGCTCTTTAGAACAGAGGAAAGCCATTAGTCCGTGAGTTACAGTATATTAACCAAGAGCTCTTTAGAACAGAGGAAAGCCATTAGTCAGTGAGTTACAGTATATTAACCAAGAGCTCTTTAGAACAGAGGAAAGCCAGTAGTCAGTGAGTTATATTGTAATCAAACAATAAAAACAACCTCTGCTTAAATTGTATCGCACCAATTTGTTTCTTTTTGCCTATTCCCTATTAACTAGTTTATTTCCATTTTGATTATTATTAAAGGTTTGCCTCTTTTTCAACAATTTACAGCTCCGGTGCAAACATTTTGAGTTTACCCTTCCAGCCCAATTGTTGTTATCCTGTTACATGAAATATTATCCTGTTACATGAGATGTTATCTTGTTTACATGAGATGTTATCTTGTTTACATGAGATGTTATCCTGTTTTCATGAGATGTTATCCTGTTACATGAAATGTTATTCTGTTACACTCCATTTCACCTTCAAGACTTAGACTACGGAAACCACAGACAGCTACGTTTTTACTATTTGGACTTGAGAAGTATCTTAATTACCGTAGTGTGCACAAAGCATTTTAGTTTCCATGTTGAGATGCTTTTGTAACTCCCTCTCCAACACCAACTTTTCCTGAATCAACTCTGCTCCTAAACTTCATTGTGGAAGAACAATTATTTCCCCAGATTTTCTCATTCCTCTGGCTTTTTGTCAGGTATCAGGATACAGATTGCCATGTTCTTAGTAGTCCCACTGTACGTATCATCATGCATCACAGCACATTTAGGTTGAAAAGATTCACCTCTGTGGATAACAATATGATTCATACACATTGCGGTAGCCGTTAATCAAGAATAACCTAACACATATTTGACAAGGACATTAACATTCTCATACATTCTGGATATTCTCCAGGTAAAGTTAAATTTCCCTAGCCGGTACTCAAACAAAGACTAGTGTTTCCCTGTAGAGTTAGCATGGGCCAAGTGGCACCCAGGCTAGCAATTCAAAGCAGATCAGTATAATACCTGTTTTCAACTCTATAGCTATGTAAACGAATGCGTTCCTAAGGCATGAAGGCATATAATCTCTTCAGCACAAACACTTTAGCAACATTTTTACAAACAAATGATGATCTGATTTACTACTACATATCAGCATGATATTCAGAGGATCCCTTTGGGAGTGTTTTTGGGGACCCATGGCCTTTGATGTTGCTAGCGCGATGCTCTATGACTCCTCCATTGCTGTCATATGAAGAAATACTATTGTGCTACTTTGTGTGTTGTAGAAATCCTCAGAGCAGAAGATGTCAGAGATGGACAAGCTACATAGTGAAGCACTGGCCAGTAAAGAACAGGAGCTCAACGCTCGAATCAACCAGGCCGTGGTAAGTTCATATCGCCCTCTCCACTTTCAAGTTGTCACATATACTGCAAAACAAACTCTGTTATAGTATTGACCAAAGTGTTTGAGCTGTACGTTTATATCAGGAGTTGGAGACCCTGTATTTGCGACCCTTTTGACTTGGCAGTGCCACGCCTGTTTTATTTATCAGTCACTAGGGTACCAGTGAGAATGATTTAGCTGGTCACGTTAGTTTAGTGTTGCATGGTATACTTAAACCTCTGTACTTTTTCAATACTAGAACATGAAAAATGGTTCGGTACTCAAATTGTAGTTACTTTTGGTACTTCAGTCTTTGAGAGAGGATCACGTCTGTCTGTCAGCGCAGCCACAGTCCTTATAGCACGAGAGCTCAGAGCCTGCTCCACTTACTCACTACTAGCTCTAGCCTGTCCTGAAGAACCACTGCACTCACTGGGAGTCTGGTCTGCATCATGTTAGCTCCCCACTCACTGGGAGTCTGGTCTGCATCATGTTAGCTCCCCACTCACTGGGAGTCTGGTCTGCATCATGTTAGCTCCCCACTCACTGGGAGTCTGGTCTGCATCATGTTAGCTCCCCACTCACTGGGAGTCTGGTCTGCATCATGTTAGCTCCCCACTCACTGGGAGTCTGGTCTGCATCATGTTAGCTCCCCACTCACTGGGAGTCTGGTCTGCATCATGTTAGCTCCCCACTCACTGGGAGTCTGGTCTGCATCATGTTAGCTCCCCACTCACTGGGAGTCTGGTCTGCATCATGTTAGCTCCCCACTCACTGGGAGTCTGGTCTGCATCATGTTAGCTCCCCACTCACTGGGAGTCTGGTCTGCATCATGTTAGCTCCCCACTCACTGGGAGTCTGGTCTGCATCATGTTAGCTCCCCACTCACTGGGAGTCTGGTCTGCATCATGTTAGCTCCCCACTCACTGGGAGTCTGGTCTGCATCATGTTAGCTCCCCACTCACTGGGAGTCTGGTCTGCATCATGTTAGCTCCCCACTCACTGGGAGTCTGGTCTGCATCATGTTAGCTCCCCACTCACTGGGAGTCTGGTCTGCATCATGTTACCTCCCCACTCACTGGGAGTCTGGTCTGCATCATGTTAGCTCCCCACTCACTGGGAGTCTGGTCTGCATCATGTTAGCTCCCCACTCACTGGGAGTCTGGTCTGCATCATGTTAGCTCCCCACTCACTGGGAGTCTGGTCTGCATCATGTTACCTCCCCACTCACTGGGAGTCTGGTCTGCATCATGTTACCTCCCCACTTGAATAATGCAACACGGTATGTAGACATTTTGCAACTGTTAATTACTAGGGCAGGAACGATACCAGTATCGCGATACTCGTTACTATCATGGCAAGGAAACCAAACCCGAAGAGGATTTAGCTTCTTTAGGAAAACAGCCCTAATGTTGGAAACAATCATTATGTTGTCATCCAGAGTCACATTCATTTACTTTCCAAGCTAAAGCACACAATATTTTACATACAGCAGGTTTTTAAAGGACCAAAGAGTTTTTTTTCTTTCTTAATTTTTGCCATCTTGTTTTCATTTTTGGCATGTGAAAAATATTACGATACTGGTATCGTTCCAGCCCTGTTTTAACTGTTCGCAAAACAATGTCCATTACAGGCTAGAACACTGCAAGAAGATACAAAACAATGTCCATTACAGGCTAGAACACTGCAAGAAGATACCGGTAGCTTTCAGCTGAAGCTAACATCAATTCACTTCCCTAGCACTACCCATAATGCATAATATGCTGATTTCAAAGCTGATTGTCACCAAAAACCATAGTTATTCCAAGAAACTTGATTCATTCACTTCGTCTCCCTGGCCTCACATCTCTTCTCTTTCTCACTGTGTGTGAATGAAGTCATTGGGTCTTAGAGACGGCGTGCACTTTTATGAAAAGAGAATGCTTCTTTTATTCAAATGTTATTGATCAGTACAATAAAATATGTCCCAAATGGAAGGGAAACAGTGTTTGTTTTCCATCTGTAACCCCATGCATTCACCTGTATTGTGAAAGGCCTAGGCTACATCTTGATTTACCCAGTTTATCAATAGAGATTATTATTATTATATTACCATTGTGTTGTTATGTAGTTAGATTAGTAAAAAGCTAAGTCAAATTGATTGTATAATTGGTTGTAAAAACAGACATAGATCATGTCATTATCAGCACGCAGCCGATTGGTGTGACCAAATCATGTGCTGGTGCCAACAACTGAAAAAGTTAGTAGCACCAGTGGAAACAGTCTAGAACCCTGGATATATGTAGTTTGTGCATATTTCTACTTGTTGTTTCTAGTGCTGTTTTATTGTGAGAGCTCTGAGTAAGATTTCCAATGTATTTATTACATATGGAAAATAAACTTGAAACTTGAATTGTGTGTGTTTGGTGTAGGAGCAGTGCAAAGAGGAGCTGGCCCAGGCTGCCAAGGAGAAGGAGCAGCAGTCTGCTCTGGCCCTGGAAGACTCAGAGCTGCAGAAGGCTGCCAAGGAGAAGGAGCAGCAGTCTGCTTTGGCCCTGGAAGACTCAGAGCTGCAGAAGGCTGCCAAGGAGAAGGAGCAGCAGTCTGCTCTGGCCCTGGAAGACTCAGAGCTGCAGAAGGCTGCTATAGAGACCGAGTCAGAGACCAATGAGATACGGCTGGAGCTGGAGACCGCCAGAACTGTAAGTCCTCCTGTTGAACGTTTGGTTCTCGTCCATGTTGGAGAGAAATATGATGCGCCATTAGGTTGAAGATCCAGGAAAATGGGTAATGAATACATTAAGACTAATGCATTATTGATATTCATAATTCAAATATTTTGGCGTTTTAGCTACTCTATCTCCAAAAATTATATTTGTTGATTCTACAGCAAATTATATACTCTACTGTATCTACAATATTTACATTGTTGGTTGAGTCTATGGCAAACATACAATAAATACTGCACATCTCATTACAGAGAATACTGGAACTTGAGAGCTCTCTGGAAAAATACTCCCAACCTGGATCAGTTCCATCAACAGATGATCGCTCCACTCAGATGGAGGAGCTAAGGAGGAAACACAAGGAGGAGGTGACTGCAATAGAGGAGAAGCACCGCGAGGAGCTGGAGAAGCACAAGGTAGAGTTGCATCAGGAGGCCTTAGCCCAACACAATGCTGTTATGGAGGAGCTCAGGGCAAAACACAGAGCTGAAGTGGAGATCATCTTGAAGGAGAAAGAGGTCCAGTTCCAAGCCCATCTAGAGGACATTAACCAGAAGACGATGGAGAAGCAGAATGTGAAACAGACTCAGCTGGAAGCACTTTCCTTTGAGCTCCAGGAGGTGTTGAGGATCAAACAGGTTCTCGAGGAGAGACTGGATGCAGTTGAAAACGCTGGTGGGTCAGCCAGGCAGGAGTTGGAGCAGAGGCTACAGGAGTTGCTGACCAAGCACAGTATGGATATCGAGGAGATCAAGCTGCAGCACGAGCAGTCCCTGGGAGGAATGGAGAAGATGCTAAAAGAGGAACTCAACAAGTTGACGATGGTGCTGAAGGAGAAAGAGAAGGATCTTGAGGCTCACCTTGTCTGTGAGAAGAGCCTGAAAGAAGAGTCCGAGACAGTTCTTCAAGACAGGAACATGAAAGTTAAAGAATTGGAGGAGCTTAGAAAGAGTTTAAAGCAGGCCCAATCAGAAAATAAGGGCCTTGAGAAATCTAACGCCCAACTCCGTAAGATTAGAGATGAACTCTCAGAGTGCAGGAGTCAGTTGAAAGATTTTGCGCAAAAACTTGAAACGACTCAAAGTGACTGCCAGCAGAAAGAGAACTCTCTTCAACAAAAGGTACAAGAGCTTGAAACACTAGAGAAGCAGTTGCAGCAGGCTAAGAAGGAGCTCTCTGAACAGGATACATCTTACGCTGACCAACTGAACACTAAGCAAGAGGAAGAAAAACGACTAAAGAAACACCTGGAGGACCAGAAGGCTGCTCATGAGAAGAAGGTGGAAAACATTAAGAAAGATATGGAGGCCAAGTGGAAATCACAGGAGACAAAGATGGAGAAATTTAAAACGAAGACCAAAGAGATGCAGGATAAATTTAAGAAGAAGCTTCAGGAGCAAGAGGAATCTTTGAAAAAGGAACTGGCGAAGAAGGAGTCAGAGCTACAGCAGAAAGAACAGAAACTTAAAGAAAAAATCCTGGTGTCTCAGACAAGTTCAGAAGGCCTGAGCAGTGCTATGTACCAGCTTGAGTCCAATCACAAGGAAGAACTAGAGAAGATGCGTGAAGTCCATAAGCAAGAGAAGAAAAAGCTTGAGTGTTATTGGCAGGAAAAGATGGGACAACAGGAAGAGGAAATGCAGGAGAAATACACACAAATACTACAGGAGAAGATGCAGGAAGTGGAGGCGGTCAACCAGCAGCTTGGAACCACCATGGAAGAAAAAGAGCAAGTCGTGCAGGAAGTGAAGGACTTGAAGGAAGAGTTGGTGATGAGACAGACCACTGTGCAGAAACTGCAAGCTGAACTGAAGGAAGCCGCAGTCAAGATGGAGAGTTTATCTCAAGCTGAGGCAATTTTCAAAGAGAAAATGGAGGCGGTCGAGAGGAATCTAAACACTGCTCTGAATGAGAGGAACTCCTTCCAGGATCAGCTGAACAAGACTGAGAATAAGGCAAGAGAGAAGCTCAAGGCTCTGTCTGAGAAGTTTGTAGACACTGAGAAGCAGCTTCAAGCTCTTGAGGCTTCTAAGGGTAAGGAAGGGGAGGCAGTTCAGAGGAGACTTGAACAACATTCTCTTCAACTAGATGTCAAGGAAAAAGAACTGCAGAAGCAGTTCGCTGGGATCAGCAATGAATTAATGCGTTACTGCCGGGACATTGAGGCCAGCATCGAAGATGGTACGAAGGAGCTCTCTGAACGAGTCGAGAGCAGAGTGAGAGAGCTGAAAGACAGGGTTCTGGGTAATCAGAAGAAGGTAGCACATCTTAAAAACATTATCCTTACCAAGGTTGACAGGATACGCACTTTGGAGGAGCAACTCCAGCAGAGGACAGAGGAGAAGAATAACCTATGCAGCTCGCTAGAGCAGATGACTGTTCAACTAAATGTACACCAAGATGATATCAAAGCCTTAACTGCTGAGAGGGAGTCTCTACAGAGGGAGGCTGAAAATCACTCTCAAGCTCTCTCAGAAAAGGTCATTTGCATCGAACAGCTCAGTGAGGAAAACCGAACCATCTCAGAGAATGTCAAAACAAATGTGGTGTATATCAGCAACTTGGAGAGTGTCATAAACGATTTGAAGACCCAGTTAGCAGGTAGCCTAACAGGGAAGGATGAAGCCATATCACTGCTTGATCAGCAGCACAAGGAGGAGAGAGAGAGGCTCGTATGCCAAATGGAGGAGACCATTGACAGACTAGAGAAAGAGAAGAAATATGCAGTGGAGCAGGCTGACACCCTCAAGAACAACCTCACTGAGTTCAAGAGGAACGCAGAGTCCAAGTTCTCTCAGAACCACAATACTGTCAAGTCTCTGCAGACCAGGTTTGAGGATATGGAGAAACAGATCTCTGAGAAGGACGAGGCCTTACAGAGGCTGATGGCCAGCATCAACAATCAGTCCATCAGCAAGTCTGAGATGGACCAAGCCTTGAGTGAAAAGGAGCAGAAAGTCAGTTCCCTTACTTTGGAGGTGGAGAGCTGCAACAGCCAACTCATTGAGCTGAAGGAGCATTTGGTCCTTAAGACAAAGGAGAGCGAGCAGCTAACTGCTGACCTGAAGGAGCAGCACAGTATCAAGGAGCGTGAGAAACGAGAGCTCACAGAGCGTCTACAACAGACTCAGGAGCAGTTCAGAATCCAGAATGGAAATCTAGTCCAGGCAACAGAGGAGAAACTGCAGTCCTTGGAGAGAGAGAGACAAACTTTGAAACAAGAGCTGGAGCGGCAGAGGGAAGCCTTTGACAAGACGAAGACTAAAGAGGAGAGTCTGAAGGCGGCTGAAGAGAAGTTGTCAAAAGACAATGCTAGGAAAGTGGCTGAGCTGAAGAAGAAAGCTGAGCAGAAAATCAGCCAGATTCGGAAACAGTTGACCTCACAACTCGAGGAGAAGGAAAAGACTGTCAAAGCCCTTCGGACACAGTTGGAAGAGGCTAAGGCGGACGAAGCGACAAAAAAGCAGCGGGTGGAAACCCTGGAAGAGAAAGGAAAATCCCTAGAGGAAGCCATGGCCAAGATGAAGGAAGAACAGGAGAAACACATTGAGCAAGTACATAGTGATGAGAGACTGGAAAAAGAGAGCTCTTTACAGAGTTTGAAGGACATGTATGAGGAAAAGCTATCATCTCTTCAGAAATACATTTTGAACCAGGAGGAAGCCCTAGCCAAGTGGAAGGAAGAACAAGAAAAACATATTGAGCAGCTACGGAATGACGAGAGACTTGCGAAAGAGAGCTCTTTGGAGAGTTTGAAGAACATGTACGAGGGAAAGCTATTGTCGCATCAGAGAGATGTTTCGAACCAGGAGGAGACCAAAGCAGATGAGACCCTCTCAAGGCTTGAGGAGGTTGAGATTAAGCTCAAGGAAGTGGAGGAGGAGAAAGTAAACCTTCTGGCTGAAATCAGCCGCCTCAAGGAAGATCTGCTTGAGAAGACTGAACTGATCGAACAGCAAAAGACAGAATTGGTTAGCTTAGAAACACAGGGTCAGAATGCAGTGGAGCATTGCACTGCAGAGCAAACCAAGAGTCTCACAGCAGGCAAAGATTGGGACAACCACCCTCTGACGCAGGAAGAAGGGGATGCTGAATCTCTGTCGTCCTTGCAGAATAAGCTGGCAGAGGCGGTGCAAGAGAAACAGAAGCTACAGAAAGACCTGCGTTCCCTGAGGAGGGAACACCAGCAGGACCTGGAGTATGTGAAGAAAGAATTGACCCAAGAGAATGAGAAGAAGCTCAAGTAAGTTTGACCTAATGTTCTGCCTTAGTGCTGTCAATCAAACAATCAATCAATCAATCAAACAAACAAATACAATAGTTTATAAGCCCTTTCTATATTTCCTGTTCTTACTTTCACATTCTGTCTTTGTGGTACTTCCTCTGTGTTTTCTCTCCATCCATACTGTATTTAAAGTTATTCTCCCCATTGAACAGGCTTGAGGTCGAAGATCTGGAGATGAAGCACAACTCGTCCCTGAAGCAGCTGATGAGGGAGTTCAACACACAGATGGCTTTGAAAGAACAGGAGCTGAGTGCTGCAGTGAAGGAGACCATTGGTGAGTGGGATTCCGAGCTTTCTTTTTCTACAGTTCACTTTCTGTTAGTCAGCACCTCAACAAGTGTTTTGGTTTGTGCTTCTAGCTAGTTATTCCACTATTACCATTGAGACTGTCACTGGCCAAAACACTTAAAAATGAATATCCACATAAAAAATTATTTGCATTTGTTTTGTGTGACAAACGGTTTAAATTGTTAGTTTATAGTCTGACAATACTCTCAAACTTCACCAATACAAATTCTTAAATGTTTGATCATTTGTCATGAATGTGTGGAATTGAGTAAAATCCACGTAAATGAAAGTGTAATTGGTGTTGGTGTCCTTTGTAGGACTCATTTGAAGTTTTTTCTAAATAAAATGAAATGAATTAGAAATATGAGTGACTATTCAGACAGAACAATAGGGGTGAAACAGAGGTTGAAAATCATTGAATTAAGAAACGGTCTCTTTCTGAATGAATCACCATATGTTTTGACTGTAGTCCAGTCATTCACACCGCATTCCAAAGCGGAAGTGAGTGACTGGTTTGGAATATGTGAACTTCAAGGTCTACTTCGTGCTTAGTTTCTGGGCCCGTATTCAAAAGCCGCCTCAGAGTAGGTGTATTAAATCTGATTGCGCATCAGGTCCCTCCTGTCCATTTCATCATATTCAGTATGATCTAAAAGGCCAAACTGATCCTATATCAGCACTCCTCCTCTCTTCTCCTCCAACCAGGGAAGGCCCAGAGCGTGGAGGTGGAGCTTATGGACAGCCATCGGGAGGAGACCAATCAGCTGCAGAAGGTGATTGCCCAGAAAGATGATGACTTAAACAGAACGGTCCAACGATATGAGCAGGTCCTCCAGGTACAGTACTGTATAAATGAATAACACATGAATGTCACTATGTGGTTATATATATATAATATATATATATATATATATATATATATATATATATATATGTATAATATATATGTATGTGATATATATGGTGTATGTATATATATTGTGTATATATATGTATATATATGTGTGTATGTGGTATGGTTGTATATATATATAATATAGTATAGAGTATTGTGATTAGATAATATAATGATATAATTATATAGATATAGATAGATATATATATATATAGAATATATATATATATATATGATATATATATATAATATATATTGTATGTATATATATATATTATATATGTATATATATATATATATATGTATATATATATATATGTATATACTATATGTATATATATGTGTGTATGTAACTACAACATTATTACTACAGCTATTACTGTGTAGCTACATAGACAGCAACTTAAAGTATAAGAGTAGATTATTGACATTCATCAGTATACACAGACTGACTAGTTTGCTTTTAGAAAGTAGATTACAAGTAGGGGTTACAGGACCAACATTAGGACTCAGAAACATGTGTCCGCTTCGTGTTTTGTTTTCATACCACGATTCTCATAGTATCGTGATACTGGTATCGTGAAAACACTAGTCCACACTATCATACGGAAACTCCTATCAGTTCCTGACATATTTTTTCAGCTTTGAGCTTTAAAGGAAAAGTACATGTGCTCCACCCATCATCATGAAACTACTACTGACATGGAACCACCTCCCTCCTGTCAGGCTCTAGCAGTCTTCATGTTGGCAGCTATTTTAGATATAGTTTTAGTCTTAAAAATACTTTTTAGTCTTAGTCACATTTTAGTAATGTCATCCTTCATTAGTTTTAGTTATTATCAGTCGACTAAAACTCTGGACAATTTTAGTCTAGTTTTAGTCACAGCCATTTTAGTCACATATAGGGATACTTTTTTTCCAGAATAAATAATGAATATTTAGGCTTCCTCTAACTTCCATCATGTGCACATTTAGATAGCCTTGTCCAGCTATGCCTACTATCCCCTCGTAAAGCTGGCAACATTGAAATTGTTACCAATGCCAGCCGTAATTAACCATAAAGGCTATAAAGCCTTGGCTACAGGTTAAACAATTTACAGCTCTGGTTTTCTCCCCATCATAACGTCCAGGGGGTGAATAACAGTGGTTTCCTTTAAAAGGGGAGAATTGGAGCTTTATAAAAATCTATTACTGTACTCCTAATATTCAACAAATAGCATTTGTTTTTCCCATTGGTAAAAAGCAACCGCAACTCGCATTTGCGGACCGCGGCACGAGAGTGGCAACACAGATTTAATGAAAAACAGCGCACATGGGAAAATTGAGCTTCTGATGTACAGTAATCAAAGCAAAAATAGCCTACATGAAATGAAGAGATAGTAAACATGGTTTCTAGTTGAGGTTAGTTACAAGTCCAGTGTCCTGGCTTCATATCAGTTCCAAAGATTGACGAATGATGAAGAGACCGTTTGGGGGAGCTGGGCAGATCAGCTCAGTCAGACCGCGCAACTGAAAGATATCAATTCTGCCAGTGAGAGAATTGCATGAAATATTCTGCATGCATGCTTCTGATTGGACAAAACAGATGAAAATGAGCTTAATGTCAAATTAAAAGTCCATTAGTCTCACGTGGAATTCTCAGCTCTTAGTCTCACGTGGAATTCTCAGCTCGTCACATTTCCGTCTACTAAAAGTAATTTGTAATAGTTATAGTTTTTTCCCTCATAGTTTACCTAATAGTTTTCATCAGGAAAAATAGGTTGAGTGTTTTTGGTCATAGTTATTGTTGTTGAAATGAACGCTGGTCTCTAGAGAGCTTTACTAAATGACAGATACCTTCTGACTGTAGCATCTGCTGAACAATTTACATTAGACTACTAGACTAAGTTACTCTCTGTGTGTGTGTGCCTGCCTTCTGACTGCCTGTTAAATGATTTACATTTTAAACTAGACTAAATGACTAGAGGGATAATCGGCTCTGCTCAGCTAAGTAAACTACAGTAAAAGCTGTCTTCTCCCACTCATCACCAGACATAATTAAAGTAGGGAGGCTGAAGTAGAGTAACACTGACTGACAATACTGTGATATCAGACTAAACGGATCCACACTGCTGACAAAATAAATGTAAATGCAACAAATAAAATGTGCAGACAAAGGACTTTGGACAAAATATTGATAAGAAGAAGAACAAAGAAATACGTTTTTGGAAACGTCTTTTGGGGTATTTTATAAGAGATGGAACACTGTGACTAGCTGTGGTTGTCCTGTTCTTCCCGTCAGAGTCGAGAGGAGGAGATGGGGGACAGAGTGTGGCAGGTACAGAAAGAGCTGGAGGACCTGCAGGCAAGGACCCACAGCGCCAGTATAGAGGTACGGTATCTCAGTTCATACATGTTTACAGGGTGAAGCTAGCAGCACAACTAGCAACATACAGTAGCATTAGCCGCAGAGCAGTTTGGGGGTTAACTGCCACCGTCCACTGGTTGCTTGGCTCACTCCTACCAGATTTCCCCCAGTCAGCCCTGGAATTCAAACCGGCAACCCTCCGGTTAATGGCCCGCCTATCTTAACTTTGAGGCTTCCGCAGCCCCCATCGCTGCAGGTTAACCGGTTTCCACAGACTATTTAATTTACCCCCGCACACAGGATGTCAAAAGTGGTTGCCATATCTGTGGTATTTTCCCACTGACTGTGTGTCCCAAATGACACCCTATTCCCTATTTAGTGCACTACCTTTGACCAGGGCCCATATATCTCTGTCCAAAAGTAGTGCACTATATAGGGAACAGGGTGCTATTTGGGACGTAGGCACTGACTGATCAGATAGTGGAAACAAACAGTAGGTGTCCCAAATGGCACCATTTTCCCTATATAGACTACACATTTTTACAAGAGCCTGTGCCTTTTGGGAGACTTGGATTGGATGGATGACATTTACAATGGGATTCTGTTGAAGCAATACAGTAATACAGTTTCCTGCTCGCCCCCCACACAAAGGACACACACACACCTCCGAAACAACTGCAACTGTGTTGACCCAACCCCTCTGTGGGCCTGTATTTGAAACACCCATGTGTTTGATGGAAGGTAAGATTTACCGGTTCAGTGTGGAAAGTCAAGCCAAACCCAGTCGATGTAGGCCTACCCTCAGGTCCTTTATAAGTTAAAGTTCTAACAGAGATGAAGAGTTAGTTTCACTTATCTTCTGCTTTGTTGTGGAGTAAAACATGTGTGTTGGTGTGTGTCCCTGTCTGTGTGTCCCTGTCTGTGTGTGCCTGTCTGTGTGTGTCCCTGTCTGTGTGTGTCTCTGTCTGTGTGTGTGTCTCTGTCTGTGTGTGTGTCTCTGTCTGTGTGTGTGTCTCTGTCTGTGTGTGTGTCTCTGTCTGTGTTTGTGTCTCTGTCTGTGTTTGTGTCTCTGTCTGTATTTGTGTCTCTGTCTGTGTTTGTGTCTCTGTCTGTGTTTGTGTCTCTGTCTGTGTTTGTGTCTCTGTCTGTGTGTGTCTCTGTCTGTGTGTGTCCCTGTCTGTGTGTGTCTCTGTCTGTGTGTGCGTCTCTGTCTGTGTGTGCGTCTCTGTCTGTGTGTGCGTCTCTGTCTGTGTGTGCCCGTCTGTCTGTGTGTGCCCGTCTGTCTGTGTGTGCCCGTCTGTCTGTGTGTGCCCGTCTGTCTGTGTGTGCCTGTCTGTCTGTGTGTGCGTCTGTCTGTGTGTGTTTGGGTATGTTAACAACAGACCCCCACTTTAGACTTGAGTTCCGTTCAAGGTAATTGTCAAAGCATGTTGCTTACATACTATGCTGTGGTCAGGGTTCTTTGAGTGAGGTGGCTGGTCTCCAGAGTTCACTGGATGCTGTGAGGATCTCTCAGACTACAGGAGGTTTAAAGAGGCAGTACACCTCCTCTTCCATCCTCTATCCATACCTGGGTTCAATTACTATTCAAAATCTTTCCAATACTTTAAGGATTTTCTTCAGCCTGCCTGGAGTGCCAGATGTTGTTTGGTGACTGTTCTATCGGTTCCATTGCACCAGGCAAGCTCCATTAAGCCCAGATAAAATATGTGAATGTTCAATCAAATATTATCTGACCCCAGGTCTGGTACACACCTCTTCCATCCTTGTTCCCAATTAACCCCCTCAGAGATATTGGTTCACTACGCAAAGACATTAGACTTTGCACGCACACCTACACACACCTACACACATCACACACACACACCTACACACTTCACACCTACACACACCACACACACAGGACACACCCTCATACTCACACACAATGAAGTGCAGCTCTTTTCTCTTTCACCTTGTTGCATATTGTGTGGGGTTCTACTCAGAAAGGACTACCCCTATTCAGGTCCTCACAGGCCACTAATGTAGATGTCAGGTCAGTCTCTCTGTCTCCTGGGAAATAGGTCACTCACATGATTCTCCTAGTCAAGTCACATTTTATTTTATTTATCCATTGTCCAGGTGAATCCCATTGAGATTGGAATATCTTTTCAAGGGAGCTCTGAAACCATTCAAAAACCATTTCCCCATTCATTTAGGAGGAACGTCTCAAACTAGACTTTAATGTCTGTATTGATTTGTTACTCATGTCTGTTATTGATGATTGTGTTGTTTCAGATGGGTGTGGAGGAGCTGCAAGCCCAGCTAGCTGAGAAGACCACCCAGCTGAGTGAGGCCAGGCTGAAGGAACAGCACTTTGTCGACAGGGTGAGTGTCAAGGGGTGGTTCACAGTACCAACCCGAACCGTACTCTGCTGGCTTGGAAGTGTTCTTTTCACATTGACCTTTCCATTGTGGTTCCAGCAATTGTGGTGGTGTTATCAGGTCAGCCCAGTACAGCTTGGTTCAGTAGTGGTGGTGTTATCAGGTCAGCCCAGTACAGCTTGGTTCAGTAGTGGTGGTGTTATCAGGTCAGCCCAGTACAGCTTGGTTCAGTAGTGGTGGTGTTATCAGGTCAGCCCAGTACAGCTTGGTTCAGTAGTGGTGGTGTTATCAGGTCAGCCCAGTACAGCTTGGTTCAGTAGTGGTGGTGTTATCAGGTCAGCCCAGTACAGCTTGGTTCAGTAGTGGTGGTGTTATCAGGTCAGCCCAGTACAGCTTGGCTCAGTAGTGGTGGTGTTGTCAGGTCAGCCCAGTACAGCTTGGCTCAGTAGTGGTGGTGTTGTCAGGTCAGCCCAGTACAGCTTGGTTCAGTAGTGGTGGTGTTATCAGGTCAGCCCAGTACAGCTTGGTTCAGTAGTGGTGGTGTTGTCAGGTCAGCCCAGTACAGCTTGGTTCAGTAGTGGTGGTGTTATCAGGTCAGCCCAGTACAGCTTGGTTCAGTAGTGGTGGTGTTATCAGGTCAGCCCAGTACAGCTTGGTTCAGTAGTGGTGGTGTTATCAGGTCAGCCCAGTACAGCTTGGTTCAGTAGTGGTGGTGTTACCAGGTCAGCCCAGTACAGCTTGGTTCAGTAGTGGTGGTGTTATCAGGTCAGCCCAGTACAGCTTGGTTCAGTAGTGGTGGTGTTATCAGGTCAGCCCAGTACAGCTTGGTTCAGTAGTGGGAGAAGGGCATCAGTTGGCCATGGTCTGTCTCTCACTCTCTTACTCTCTCGCTCTCTTTCTCTTTCTTCACAGTACAGTACATCCCTCATTCCACACCACTGTATTCCTCTCATCCTTCCCAGAACTCTTTCACCCTCCGGCCATCCTTAATGACTGCTGGTCTCTCTTTCTGGATTAAGTTAATTGCATAGAACATTGTTTACTCTTGCTGTAACCTTAGAAGCAATTACCCTGCTCCTTCCCACTGTGTCTCTCATATACACACACACACACACACACACACACACTGTTTCTCTCACACATGTTGTCGACAGATCAGTCTCTCTCCCTAACCCCTGGATGACCATAGCAGGCCAGTATTCATCTCCCACAGACTGTTCAGTACAGCTGATTTTAAAAGAACAGAACCACTTGAATAAAAATGGTAACACTTTACTAAACCTGTATGTATAGCACATCAGAAGTTGTTATAAGCATCTATAATACTTTACACCTGCAGACTTAGTGTTACCAGAAAAGGAATGCCTTTTTATTGATTTATTGCATTTTAAATCCTTTGTACTGTACTCTCTCTCTCCTAGATACACTCGCTGGAGGAGTCATGTTTTTGTACTGTACTCTCTCTCTCCTAGATCCACTCGCTGGAGGAGTCATGTTTTTGTACTGTACTCTCTCTCTCCTAGATCCACTCGCTGGAGGAGTCATGTTTTTGTACTGTACTCTCTCTCTCCTAGATCCACTCGCTGGAGGAGTCATGTTTTTGTACTGTACTCTCTCTCTCCTAGATCCACTCGCTGGAGGAGTCATGTTTTTGTACTGTACTCTCTCTCTCCTAGATCCACTCGCTGGAGGAGTCATGTTTTTGTACTGTACTCTCTCTCCTAGATCCACTCGCTGGAGGACAAGATGCGATTAGTCCACAAGAACTCAGTGGTGACTCATCTGGGGACCACGTTCAAAGGTAATGTACACATCTATATTAATCTATATTAACATCTATATTAAAGACCTATACTACTTTAAATATAAACACACATTCAAAGGTAACGTTAACATCTATACAGTTGAAGTCGGAAGTTCACATACACCTTAGCCAAATACATTTAAACTCTGTTTTTCACAATTCCTGACATTTAATCCTAGTAAAGATTCCCTGTTTTAGGTCAGTTAGGATCACCACTTTATTTTAAGAATGTGAAACGTCAGAATAATAGTAGAGATAATTATTTCTTTCAGCTTTTATTTCTTTCATCACATTCCCAGTGTGTCAGAAGTTTACATACACCAATTAGTATTTGGTAGCATTGCCTTTAAATTGTTTATCTTGAGTCAAATGTTTCGGGTAGCCTTCCACAAGCTTCCCACAATAAATTGGGTGAATTTTGGCCCATTCCTCCTGACAGAGCTGGTGTAACTGAGTCAGGTTTGTAGGCCTCCTTGCTCGCACACGCTTTTTCAGTTCTGCCCACACATTTTCTATAGGATTGAGGCCAGGGCTTTGTGATGGCCACTCCAATACCTTGACTTTGTTGTCCTTAAGCCATTTTGCCACAACTTTGGAAGTATGCTTGGGGTCATTGTCCATTTGGAAGACCCATTTGCGACAAAGCTTTAACTTCCTGACTGATGTCTTGAGATGTTGCTTCAATATATCCACATAATTTTCCTTCCTCATGATGCCATCTATTTTGTGAAGTGCACCAGTCCCTCTTGCAGCAAAGCACCCCCACAGCATGATGCTGCCACCCCCGTGCTTCACAGTTGGGATGGTGTTCTTCGGCTTGCAAGACCCCCCCCCCCCCCCTTTTCCTCCAAACATATCGATGGTCATTATGGCCAAACAGTTATATTTTGGTTTCATCAGATCAGAGGACATTTCTCCAAAAAGTACGATCTTTGTCCCCATGTGGAGTTGCAAACCGTAGTCTGTATTTTTTATGGCGGTTTTGGAGCAGTGGCTTCTTCCTTGCTGAGTAGCCTTTCAGGTTATGTCGACTTGTTTTACTGTGGATATAGATACTTTTGTACCTGTTTCCTCCAGCATCTTCTCATGGTCCTTTGCTGCTGTTCTGGCATTGATTTGCACTTTTCGCACCAAAGTACGTTCATCTCTAGGAGACAGAACGCGTCTCCTTCCTGAGCGGTATGACGGCTGCGTGGTCCCATGGTGTTTATACTTGCGTACTGTTGTTTGTACAGATGAACGTGGTACCTTCAGGCGTTTGGAAATTGCTCCCAAGGATGAACCAGACTTCTGGAGGTCTACAATTATTTTTCTGAGGTCTATGCTGATTTATTTTGATTTTCCCATGATGTCAAGCAAAGAGGCACTGAGTTTGAAGGTAGACCTTGAAATACATCCACAGGTACACCTCCAATTGACTCAAATTATGTCAATTAGCCTATCAGAAGCTTCTAAAGCCATGACATCATTTTCTGGAATTATCCAAGCTGTTTAAAGGCACAGTCAACTTAGTGTATGTACATTTCTGACCCACTGGAATTGTGAATCAGTGAATTATAAGTGAAATAATCAGCCTGTAAACAATTGTTGGAAAAATTACTTGTCATGCACAAAGTAGATGTCCTAACCGACTTGCCAAAACTATAGTTTGTTTAACAAGAAATTTGAGGTGTGGTTGAAAAACGAGTTTTAATGACTCCAACCAAAGTGTATGTAAACTTCCGACTTCAACTGTACATGCCATACATTCAAAGGTAACGTTAACATCTATAAATGCCATACATTCAAAGGTAACGTTAACATCTAAAAATGCCATACATTCAAAGGTAACGTTAACATCTATAAATGCCATACATTCAAAGGTAACGTTAACATCTATCCATGCCTTTCATTCAAAGGTAACGTTAAGATCTTACAGGGGACATTTTCTGAAAAATATTAAATATTAACTTTTCAATCGTCTTCTTACCTCGAAAGGACCTCATGGAAAATTAGTCTAAGGATATTCTGTCAGCCATTTAGTGGTAGGACATTGCTACTGTTAGTTCAACATCACTAAGATGTAGCCCCCGCAGTAGTGTCTCAATCATATCAATCTCAACTCTATTATGAATGATATCTCATCCGTATGGATTGATGTCATATGCCGATGGAGGGGCAGGAATCTCACCTGTCTTCCTTATTTAGGAGATAAATGGAAACCTCTTCAAGTCAGTCTAAACTAAACGATGCCTGAGACATGTTATTGATTGTAGTAATCTGTTCTGCGTGTGAGCAATAGTTTGACTTATAGGCCTACGTCCACACGTTACCCCAGCTGTGCTGCAGACTCTGGGAGAATAGTACGTCTAACATCACTGCTATAAATCTGTCCAGTCAATCTGTGAACTCGTACAGACACACACATGTCACACACCGTTGGATAAAAAAATGGGACATGAGATGTGGAAATTGAAGTCTGAAAGACTGGACGCAGGGGGTTTGGGAGAGGGGAGGGGAGGGTAGAGGGGGGGGGACTGTCAAACTCAATTCTAGCCTCTTCATGGACCTTGCATAATAAAGAGAATCGTCTGTCTGAAGGGAAAGGGGGGCGAGGAGTTAGGGGTGAAAATTAATCCCAGGACATAATGGCTTTTGCAGGCTGCAGTCTTGTGTTTCCCACGCGAAAACCTCTAATTCAGCACTGCACACTACCGCCATGGCCTCTCCCCTGTCCTCTCCCCTGTCCTCTCCCCTGGCCTCTCCCCTGGCCTTCTACCCTGGCCTCTCCCCTGTCCTCTCCCCTGGCCTTCTCCCCTGTCCTCTCCCCTGACCTCTCCCCTGTCCTTCTACCCTGGCCTCTCCCCTGTCCTCTCCCCTGTCCTCTCCCCTGGCCTCTCCCCTGGCCTCTCCCCTGTCCTCTCCCCTGTCCTTCTCCCCTGTCCTCTCCCCTGTCCTCTCCCCTGGCCTCTCCCCTGGCCTTCTACCCTGGCCTCTCCCCTGTCCTCTCCCCTGGCCTTCTCCCCTGTCCTCTCCCCTGACCTCTCCCCTGTCCTTCTACCCTGGCCTCTCCCCTGTCCTCTCCCCTGTCCTCTCCCCTGGCCTCTCCCCTGGCCTCTCCCCTGTCCTCTCCCCTGTCCTTCTCCCCTGTCCTCTCCCCTGGCCTCTCCCCTGGCCTGAAGTTATACCACTCAATTTCAAACGTTCTCTCCAACCCGAGACTTTAGTAGTCCACTCTTTTTGGCCTCAGTGTTTGAACAACCCTCTCTGTGTTTGAACAACCCTCTCTGTGTTTGAACAACCCTCTCTGTGTTTGAACAACCCTCTCTGTGTTTGAACAACCCTCTCTGTGTTTGAACAACCCTCTGTGTTTGAACAACCCTCTCTGTGTTTGAACAACCCTCTCTGTGTTTGAACAACCCTCTCTGTGTTTGAACAACCCTCTCTGTGTTTGAACAACCCTCTCTGTGTTTGAACAACCCTCTCTGTGTTTGAACAACCCTCTGTGTTTGAACAACCCTCTGTGTTTGAACAACCCTCTGTGTTTGAACAACCCTCTCTGTGTTTGAACAACCCTCTCTGTGTTTGAACAACCCTCTCTGTGTTTGAACAACCCTCTCTGTGTTTGAACAACCCTCTGTGTTTGAACAACCCTCTGTGTTTGAACAACCCTCTCAGCCAGGTCAGATCCTAACCTTTCCCCCTTATGCATACCCCATTTTGTCATACTTCATATTAGAGCTGTAATGATAAACTGAAAATGATCGATACCGACCAAACTGAGCATTTATCGAGGACATTTTAATGATATCGATAATAACGATTAGTTGCCTTTACTAGAGGAATGTGAAGTTTAAAATTAAAGTCTGCTAATTTGGACAATTGATAGTTACAACAATCAAAGTAGTAGTTTTAAGGGTAATATAAAAAGTAACTAGTGCACATTAATGTTATAGACGTATTGTTCAATTGATTGTTATCATGATAATGACTTTATTGTGATACAGATTTTTGTCCATATCACCCAGCTGTACTCCATAGCTTGTCTATTCTAGCTGAAGAGAAGCCTGCTGGCCCAGTGATCTTACTCACACCACTGTTGACAGCCTCGTCATATATTAACACCATCTCAATGTGGCTTCTGCTGTCTTGACCGCTGTCAAACTCTAACACTGCTGAGCTGAGCTGTACTCCACCATAGTCGTTGGAACTGTGCTACAAAGGACAATGTGAAAACAACATTTCCAAGCCAGCACAGATGGTGTTTAAACCACCTTAGAGTAATTGCTCCTGGTCAAGAGGCCAATGATTAGTGGTATAGGGTGGGTCCTCAGCCCCAAGTGTGTGTTACTCTGCTGTGCGTTCAGCTGGGCTTCTCTGCCTGGGGTCCTGGGCCTGGAGGTCAGGAGGACAGAATGCTGAAAGGATTTATTAGCCAGGCCATTTCTCCACGCTTGATGATCAAAGACTAGTTTGGGCTCTACCGTCACCTCTCTACCATCACCTCTCTACCGTCACCTCTCTACCATCACCTCATCACCTCTCTACCATCACCTCTCTACCATCACCCCATCACCTCTCTACCGTCACCTCTCTACCATCACCTCTCTACCATCATCCTACGTACTCTCTACCTCTCACCTACTACCTCACCATCTACTACCGTCACCTCTCTACCGTCACCTCTCTACCGTCACCTCTCTACCGTCACCTCTCTACTGCACCCCATCACCTCTCTACCGTCACCTCTCTACCGTCACCTCTCTACCATCACCCATCACCTCTCTACCGTCACCTCTCTACCGTCACCTCTCTACCATCACCACACCTCACCTCATCTACCAGTCACCCTCATCACCTACCTCACCGTCACCTCTCTACCATCACATCACTCTCTACCGTCACCTCCTCTACCGTCACCTCTCTACACCATCACCCATCACCTCTACTACCGTCACCTCTACCGTCACCTCTACATACCACCTCTCCTCACCTCTCTACGCACATTCACCTCAT